AATATCTCTACTTTACATCACATTATTACTTTTACACCAAAAAGTAAGTGCAAAAATGTCATTATACTACTTTAACTACCACTATAATTAAAATAGTATTATTTCTTAAACATCGCGCCAAAAATAATTATTTATTTTATGTGTGGACGGAGAAAATGTATTTTAAATTGTTAACCATCGATATTATGTTCAAAATCAATAGTTTATATTTATTTATTTTGGTTAAAAATTTAAAATTTTGTAAAAGCATGTCAATCAAATTCTCAAAAAAAAAAAAAAAAAAACAATAAAAAGCTACGAAAATAATAAAAAATATTTAATTTCTCTTCTTTAATTTCTCTTGTAAAAATTTTGTAAAAGCATTTTTTTATGGTATCTTTTAATATAAAATATAAAAAATTATAATAATATAAAAAATAATTTTTAGTATATGTATATAAAAGATATTTTATTTTTTCTCCTGTCGTAAACTAGTTCCATAAGTAAAACTTTTTTGTTGTTTTAGTCCTCCGGCGCCGGAGACGCCCATGTGGCTCGCCGGAGGCTACGTGTCGACCAGGTCAGCGACACCTGGCGGACACATGGATTTTTATTTTTTTTTCATTTTTTTCATTTTTTAAAAAAATTTATTAAGAATATATTTTTAATTTTATTTTTTTTATTTGGTTCAATTGAAAATAAAATTAAAAAAATTAAAAAATAAAATAAAATTTACGTGTTCGCCAGGTGTCGCTGACCTGGCGGACACGTGGCTTCCAGTGAGCCACACGGGCGTCTTCGGCGCCGGAGGACTAAAACAACAAAAAATTTTCATTTATGAGACTAATTTTCGACAAACTCCATTTACGAGACTAAAATTGTAAGGGGGTCCAATTACGAAACTAAAAAATAATTTACCCTAATATATATTATGATTTTTCACAAAAAATTACATTTAGAATAAAATATTATTTTTTATACTTTATATAAAAAAATATTTCAAACTAAAAACATTAAACAACCAAAATTCAAAATATATATGTTCACTCAACAATTTTTTTTTAAAATACGATTCTCAATGTATGTAATATTTATATTTTTTCACTCACAAAAATTAATAATTTAATATAAAATATTATTTATTTAATGATATTTTTTGAAAATAATTTTTTATTTGAAGTATAGTGAATTGTGTAAATAATGTAGTATAAAAATAATTGTGAAAGAACAAACTCATTATTTTTTATGTTAGCAACATGATTTCTCGTACCCTCGCACACAAACATATTTATTATATTATCCATACGATTATCCATAATTCATATTAAAAAAATTACTTCAAATTAAAACAATAAACAAGCACATAGTTACATATCACAATAAATATTTAATTTTTATTGCAATATTTTTTTATTCAGTTACACTACATCGAATGTCTACTCTTTTATTTAAATTCATATGTTTTAAAAATGTAATAATAATAATTTGCTACAAAATAAATAAATACTCTACAATGAAATGTGGTGTTCTTTTATCAGATTTTTTCGGATTTTTATTATTCATAAAAATATTTTTCTCAAAAAAATATTAAATCAATTATTTATTTCTCATTTTCTATATTAATAAAAATTATTTTTATATTCAACATATTGCATTAACACCTATTATATCACATCATACAAGTATTTAAATTCAAAATTTTTACTATTCAAAATATCAACTAAAACCTTAACAAACACACCCTTAATTTCCTTTATATTTCCATATTATTTAATACTCTTATTATATTACGTATGTCCCGCTCTAAGGGTTTCATTTACTTTTTGTCGTATTTATATTTGAATATTAATTATTATATCAAAATATAGTACAAATTAAGAAAAAAATTGCAAAAATTATTGTAATGCTTATAGAATGATATTTGTAAAAAAAAAATATACAAACATAAAAATATTTTTAATATTAAATATAATGACAGTAAAAGATAAATATGACCTTAAAGACCTACGGAGGAAATACATTTTATTTTATTTTATTTCTCTAAAATTGCTCACGACTTACTTTTTATAATTATTGATCCAAAATATAACCTCATTTCATAAATTTAATTTTTAAAATATTATTACAAAGTTAAAATGCGTATGAACGCACCCTTAAATTTTATAGTAAGTAATTTTATTTCACGAATAATTCATAGTAATAAATATATTTCACGATTTCTAAAATAAATTACTTTTTATTTAAATCATCGCGTCGAACACGCAATCTTATTTCATAATTTCAAGATTCAAAACACCGATTCAAAAGCAAACCGGGTATAAATGTGTCCGTGATGTAAATAGTAAGTATTTCACGAAGAATTCAAAAACAGTAAATATATTTCTATGTCTGCTAATATATATATATATACATTTATGATTTATTTTTCGCGGATTTTAAATTTTAAATACTATATTTATTATATAATCTATTTCGTAATATTTCAAATTTCAATTACTAAAACAAAATCAAAATTACTAATGTGAATCATCGATATTTATATAATTCATTAAAAATTCAAAAATAATAATTTTGTTTCTTTATTTGCTAATTTACATACGATTTATATTAACAAATTATGTAGTTACTAATTAAAAATTAAAGTATAAATGTATAAACAATGCATCTAATCCTCGCGTGGGGCGCGTGTTATACAATTAATTTAATTACTACTTATATTAAAATTTATTATTGTCTTTTTTTTTTTAAAAAAAAAAAAACTAATTACTATACATATTGTTTCGGTAAGTAATAAATCAAAATTTAAAACAAAGTGAGCGCGTTTGTTTGTTTGTTATATATATATATATATTTAAATAATAGTTTGATGTAATATTTTAATTATATAGTAAAATAATTGAAAAAATATAACTAAGACATACCATTGTGTGTTTGAGTTTTTATTATTTACCAAAATATCATCGTAGTTTTCAATAAAATTAAATTATTTTTTGTTTACAACATATAAATCAAACAATGGTACAATTATTACAATTTTTATTGTTAGTTATTGTAATTGTTTACAATTTTTATTGTAAAAATATTAAATATTATTAAAATAATTTTATTAAAAGATATGTTTTTATTGAAAAATCAAATAATATTAACCAAACACATATCCACATAAATTTCAGAAATAATATATAGGATATATTATGTTGCAATATAGAATATTCCTGGAATATAATATATTAATTTCATATATAATAATACTTTCTCCGTCCCGTTGGAAGGGTGACGTTTGCTTTTTGCACGTAAATTTTTGAATATTAATATTATATTAGATTGTAAATAAAAAAGACAAAAATACCCTCATTAGTATAGTGTAATATAAAAGTAATGACATTTGCGTAATATATTGTAAGTTGAAAGGATATTTATTATGTTAAGTAGGTAGTACAATTACTAAATTAGGAAATAGTAACCTTATTTTGGGACGGACGGAAATAAAAAATGGTAACCTTTTAATGGGACGGAGGGAGTATATATTATTTTTTATGATAAAAATGTCTTCTACCTTTATTCTTTCCTCTGAATTTATGTCCAAAATATTTTTATTTATTATATATTGTAGGTATGAAATATTCAAGTAATATATATCTATAATAATAATTTAATATATAATATGCTAAATTTAATCAACAAAAGTGTCTGAATCTTTCCATTTAATTTTTCTATATAAATTTAAAAGTATATTTATGCAAAATATATCTAAAAAAAAAATAAAGATTATCCACATATATTTTACTAGCAAATTATGTAATAAAATTTACAGTATATTATAGTTCTATCCCTTGGATAAAATAGAATAATTCAATAAATTAATAGTATTAATCACATGTGACTATAATTAAAAAAATAATTTACCCATCATAATCAAATCATAACAAACATACCCCCAAATAATTAAATATTTATTGACAGAAATCACAAGTAATCCAATTTTTGTCCAAAAAATTTATTAGGCTATGTTTGATGGGAAAGTTGGGAAGATTATATTTAAAATATTATATCAAATAATTATTTCAATGAAAAAATTTATCTTAAAATTAAAACCAAAAAAAGTGTTTGGTTAGATTTAATTTTTAAATAAAAAAATATTACAAAAAATTATTTAAACAAAAAAATCTATTATCTCTCTGTCCCAAAATAATACAGACATTTGAGATGATCACAAGAAATAAAAAATAAAAATATTATATTCACCATGGATAAAAAAAGTATTTATAAAAGACTAAAATACCTTATTTAAAGTAATTATTATAAAAAAAAATTGACGATAATTTTATAAAAAGACGAAGAAGTAGTTACCAAAATGACAAAATAGAACTATTTAGACGGAGGGATATTTTCAAATCAAAACAAACAAACAAAAAATCAAACACCAAACAAACAGATCTTTACTGTCTTTATTATAATTTCTATTTTATTCATTAAATGGTTTAAAAAACGAAGACTTGCTGACGTGGAATTGGACCGTGCGGTGCGTAACACAGGATAAAATCTCATCAAACTTAAAAAGTCATTGTCCACGTCACCTACAGAGTATAATGTTTTCAGCATAAACAACTGCCCACTCTATTTCTTATTCTCGAAGCACGTAAAGTTTGCCGAAATGAATGCACTTATCACTTATCACCAAACATAAGCACTTGTGCTTATCACGGAGATACGCATGTGATCTTATATAAGCGGTTTGACTTATCAGCACTCAGTTATAATGAAGTTTGAGGAATAAGAAGACCCACGCGCGTCTAAACCCAGAGCGGCGGTGGGTCATCACACGCGTCATCTCATCTATACCCACGTACTAAGCCGCGGTCACGCGCCACGACACGTGCCGAAATGTCCTACCAGGGAGGGGAGCGTTTGATGGCACGCGCGGGTAGGCGCGTGGGGATTCCTTTGATTATCTGTCGTTGCCCTTAATTTTCTTGTGAAAACACACAGTACTCGCTTTATAAAGGGCAGCCCCAGTGAAGAAAAGCGACTGCAAATCTAGAGAGAGACAGAGAGAGAAAGAAAGAGGAGAGAGACAGAGAGGATTTGTGCGCGAGCGCTTGAAGGAGAGGGGAAAAAAGGGGCAGAAGAAGAAAGTTGCGGGTGGAAAACCCGAAATCTCTCTCGATCTGTGCTTTTTAATTAACCCTCTTCAAGAGTTCCGAGGTAAAAAAAAATTGTGTATGGTTTGGTTTGGTTGTGCGTGTCTTATTTTGTTCAATGATGTTTTTGGTTTGTGTGTTTGTTGTCGCGCGGTTGTTTTTTTAATCTTGATGTTTTTTATTTGTTTTTTGCGGTGGGGATAGCGTGGATTGATGTGGTTTTTGATGAATTTGGGCAGTCCTGGGAGGGATTTCTGCGGTATTTCGGAATTCTGGAGCGTGGGGATTGCTTGATCGTTGGGGAGAAGATGAGTTCGTTGAGCAGAGAACTCGTCGTTTTAATCCTCCAGTTTTTGGATGAAGAAAAGTATAAGGAGACCGTACACAAGTGAGTTCTTCCCCTTTTACCATTGTTTGTTTTTGTTTATAATTTAGATTTCGTGTTTTCTTGGTGGGTGATCCAGTTTTGAATGTGTGTTGACTAAATGTTGATTTTGGGTGTTGGGGAATGATCGAAGACTGGAGAAGGAATCTGGATTCTTCTTCAACATGAAGTACTTTGAAGATATGGTGGTGAATGGAGAATGGGAGGAGGTCGAAAAGTATTTGTCGGGTTTTACAAAGCTTGAGGACAACAGATACTCGATGAAGATCTTCTTTGAGATCCGAAAGCAAAAGTATCTGGAAGCCCTGGACAGGTTGAATTTAATATATATATATATTTAAATATTTGTTTATTTGTTTATTATTCTTCACCTAATCTAATTAAGTTGTTGGAGGAATTAGAACTAAGTTTGATTTTGATTCAAAATCTCAGAAAGGATAATGCCAGAGCCGTGGAGATTCTTGTCAAAGATTTAAAAGTATTTTCATCATTCAATGAGGACCTGTTTAAGGAAATTGCATTGCTGTTGACCCTTCAGAACTTCAGGTATATAATAATTTGATTACATCAGATGTTTGTGTAAATCGAATGTTATTCTGCAATTGGTGATGGGCTTCTTTGAAAAACAATTTTCATTCACAAAGATTATGATTTTTTTAATTTTGATACCACAGAATGGGGCCAGTGGTAAGTAGTAGCATTGTTAAAAGCATTTAGATGTGTTCATTGTCCAGTAGTGCAAGGATGATGAGTTTCTGATATATCTATATGAGCTTGAATTCAGTCGGAAGTGATTTATGGCAAGCTCTCGGATGTCTCTTGCATTCAAATAATTTTAGATCGTGATATTTGTCAAGGCTATTTTATTTCAGTTCTTGATGCCTTGAATCTTATTTGGCTGTCAGATTGCATAAAAATTGAGTGTAGGAGTTCATGTTGTTCGGATGGTATTTATGGGGTTTAAATTTCTGTGAAAACAATGTGATTTTGCTCTTTTGGTGAAGGGATTTTCTCAGCTCCTCCATTTATGAACTCTATAATTGTTCCTCTGTCTTCCCTGTTTACGATTGAAGTAATGTTCATGGCAGGGAAAATGATCAGCTTTCAAAGTATGGCGACACAAAGTCAGCTAGAACTATAATGCTGAGTGAGTTGAAGAAATTGGTTGAGGCTAATCCTCTATTTCGTGATAAACTTCACCTCCCTCCATTGAAGAACTCAAGATTGCGAACTCTGATTAATCAGAGGTATAAACTCTTTCCATTTGCCTTATCTGTTAAATCTCAGAGGATATTGATATCATCATTATCATTGTTCTATGTATTACAGTCTGAATTGGCAGCACCAGCTCTGCAAGAATCCAAAGTCGAATCCTGATATAAAGACACTTTTTGTGGACCATGCATGTGGACAAGCAAACGGTGGCCAGGCTCCATCTCCAGCCCCTAATCCGCTGATGAGCCAAATCCCGAGTCAAATCCCAAGCCAAATCCCTAAAGTTAGCGGTTTTCCATCAATGGGCCCTGTTGTAAGTATTTGCAGAGAATTGCAGACTCCATTAATCATTCAAAAATTTATGATACGATTATTGTGACTTGATTAACAGGCATTCCAGCATGCACAAGCTCCTTTGGCTAATTCACTTGCAGGATGGATGGCCAATCAGACGATGGCCAATCCTTCAGTGGCCAATCCGTCAATGGCCAACCCGTCTATGTCCAATCAGTCGGCAGCGAATCCGACCTCTGTCCCGCATCAGTCTGTTCCTATAGGATCTATAGGCTTAACTCCCCCGAGTAATCCTGGTAATCTCTTTTGATCTTATTCATGATTACTTGTTGGGTTTTAGCATATTCATGTTATACTCAATTTTTGAGGTTTGGTAACATTATCTTTGAGAGTATGTGTATGTTTTCCATTTAACGAATACTGGCAGAACCATTGATAATTGACGAATTTTGTGGTATCCTCCTTTCACTTGGCCATGTATCTTCTACCTAATCCATTGTTGGTTTTGTGTCGAATTGTCATGATAGCATCTATGATAAAGCGTCCTAGGACTCCTCCCTCTAACATTCCCGTCATGGACTATCAAACTGCAGACTCTGATAATCTGCTGAAGAGGCAAAGACCCTATGGAATGCCTGAGGAGGTACCTTATTTTGATCGGATGTCCTGTTTTACATTTTGACATGAATTTGTTAATGGCATACATGGATTCCCCCCTGAGTATCATTGAAGTTTGTAATCTTATGGCCAGGATTATGGACTTTCAATTTCTGCAGTGAGCAATATATTCAGCCTCATTATCCGTTCTCATAATGCTTCTATTGACTATTTACAATATTTATCATTTCATACAAACATCATCTTCAGGTCAGCAATATGCCCGGCAATGTTATGCCTGGTATGTTTCCTGGTTTGTCCATCCATCCCTTAGGCGTCGCAACCGATGAGCTACCCAAGACGGTTATGGCAACTTTGAGACAGGGCTCCGCTGTGAGGACCTTGGATTTCCACCCAACAATACATAATATACTTTTAGGTAACCTTGCCCTGTTGTTGGATTTAATTTCCTGTTTTTCAAACTTGTTGACTGAGGAATTACGAAATGTGTGTGGGAATATGGCATTGGCTTCTTTCTTATGGTGTTTCTTCTGTTATTGCACCTATGCATCGGTTGTTTCATTCGCGTATAAAATGTAATGTTTGTTTGAACACGCAGAGACTAGTTTAGAAATACATGTTCCATTCTTTAGCATTGTGTTCTTTCTTTCTTGGCTTTCAGTGGGAACATATGCCGGTGAGTTCATTTTATGGGATGTGGCTAGCAAGGTGAGACTTGCAGTAAGGACTTTTACGTTGTGGGATAAGGCAAATTGCTCGGTGACACTTCAGGTATGATTATTGCATAGAGAAATTTAACTTTTTTTTATAATCTATGAGTGAATTTGTTAATAAGCAAAGACTGGTCCTTTCTTGTAGGCCAACATGATCAATGATGCTTATGCCTCAGTAAACCGCGTCATTTGGAGTCCTGATGGAAACCTTTTCGGTATGTGTTTCATTGTTTCTAATTATTTTCTGAAGCAATCTGAACCTGTGAGAATTGTACATGAAATATATTTGATTTTTCCATCATCAACCACGAGTGGCAAATCATAATCCTTCCTTAGGTGAGTTTGGCGACATGGGTTGGGTTTTGTTTGGGTTGCTAAGCTTGACTCAAACATTAACAATGCAGTGATGCTGACTATGGAACCACAATTGCTTTTCCAACTCATTTTAAACATGACCGTTGTTTGAAATTTGGTTATATAGTTAGAATCTGCAGAGTTTTCAACCAAGCAATGACATTAGTTAATATTCTGATCACATATTTTAGACCTTAGATAAATTCAATTCTTCTCGAGTTGAGCTTTTATGCTGTGACTTTGAGGAGGGTGTCATAATGTGCACTGGAGCTTTATATTATCACAATTGTTTTTTTCCCTTTGCATACGAATCATATTATCACCCTTTTTTCTTTCAGGTGTTGCATATGCAAAACACATTGTTCACTTATTTGCTTATATGGGCGGCGATGATATACGAGGCCACCTTGAGGTTTGTATCTGATTTCTTTAACTCTGTTCCTGATGTGATATCTTTTGACTTGATCTGATATTCTGAGGTGAGCGTTAAAATTGTTTGCCTATTATTTCAGATAGAGGCACACATGGGCAGTGTTAATGATCTTGCCTTCTCTAATCCGAATAAGCAACTGTGCATTATAAGTTGTGGGGACGATAAGACAATCAAGGTTGCAGTTAATTGTTTTTATCTGGATTGTGGTATATGACATCAGACACTACTTGCAGAAGATCTGAATCGTTTTGCTTTTTTTTAAGGTGTGGGATGCTGCCACCGGAGCTAAGCAGTTTACGTTCGATGGTCACGAGGCTCCTGTTTATTCCTTATGCCCACATAACAAGGAAAATATTGAGGTACTTAATTGCTCACGACATTTTCAAACATGTGTTGTAGAATCCCGCATATACAAATTGATTGATATTCTGTATCGCTTTAGTATCTAAGCTCGATTCCTATAAAGGTCATGTTGATGTTTGATTTTCCATGCCTGATCCCCCGCTCCCCTCCCCAGCCTCGGTTGTTTTCTGCGTCACAATGTATTTCTTCCTGTTTCAGTTCATCTTTTCGACTTCTATTGATGGAAAAATCAAGGCTTGGCTATATGATACTCTGGGTTCCCGAGTTGATTATGAAGCACCAGGCCGGAGTTGTACAACAATGGCTTACAGTAATGATGGAACTAGGTAAATACACTATTCTCTCTTTCTCGTATTTTTTCTTCACTAATTCAATCGAAGCCTGATTTTCATGGCATGCTTGTTGCTAAATTATTCTCGTCTTGGTTGTCTCAATAAATGTTAGGTTATTCTCATGTGGCACAAGCAAAGATGGCGAGTCATACATTGTAGAGTGGAACGAGACTGAGGGAGCTGTCAAGAGGACATATAATGGGCTGTCAAAACGCTCGGTTGGAGTGGTACAGTTTGATACAGCTAAGAATCGGTACTTGGCTGCCGGTGATGAGTGTAAAATAAAATATTGGAACATGGACAATTCAAACGTTTTGTGTAGCATTGATGCCGAGGGTAACTTGCAGGTAATGTTGAACCTTATGAACACCACTTTAATTTTTCAATGTTTTCGGGGTCGCATAATTAGATAGGAACTGTGATTTTCATTTATGTTGTCCACCAGGCTTCCCCTTCCATTCGGTTTAACAAGGCCGGAACACTGCTGGCTGTATCAACAACTGATAATTCTGTCAAAATAGTTGCCAATACTGACGGTATTCGACTGATGCGATCTGCAGAAAGTCGTGTTGGACCTTCAAAGGTAAAGATAATGTTTTTTTCCCTTATGTTTGAGTTGCTTGAACGCATTATTGTAATTAAACTGTTCTGTCCTGCAGGCACCTATCATTAGCCCGTTTTCTGCTTCTACTTCAGCACCGGGAACCAGCGTCGCTGCGGATCGGAGTTCGCCGAGGAACGTCGCTATCACACCCCCGGTGAGTCGCAGTTTTCCTTAAGTTACTTGCTGCAACATCTATTCATGACATCGGTTTTTCAACAACTATTTTTATCATTCGACAGAACGAATTTGGACCGAGTTTACCTGATTTAAAAGCCAGAATTCCCGATGAGCCTGAGAAACCCAAGCCATGGAAGATGACGGAATTTAGTGAGCCATCTCAATTTCGGGCGTCAAAGCTTCCTGATAATCTGTTGGCCGTGAGGGTAAGTAATCCATTCATTTCTTGTCGACGACAATATAAAACTTCTTGTTTATTTACAAAGGAAGCCACTCTTTTCATCTCAGATCGTGCGATTGATTTATACAAATGCTGGAAGTTCTATTCTAGCACTGGCGTACAACGCCGTCCACAAGCTGTGGAAATGGCAACGCTCCGAGAGAAATACTTCTGGAAAGGTTTGTTACTTATCTTCAACGTCGAATCTTTTTACGGAACGTCTCGTCTTGTCTTGTCCTTGTATAGTTCGACAATCCTCTCTTTTACAGGCGACTAGTTCTGTGCCACCGCAACTTTGGCAACCCCCTAGCGGAATCTTGATGACCAACGACATCAGTGATACTAACCTCGAGATGGCTGTTCCTTGCTTTGCGCTTTCGAAAAATGACTCTTATGTTATGTCCGCATCCGGAGGAAAAATTTCGCTTTTCAATATGGGGACGTTCAAGGTAATAATATAACATTCGATTTCATTTGATTCTTGCATATGGTTGGGGCCTTTATAACTTTGACACTCTTCTCTGCAGACAATGACATCTTTCATGCTCCCGCCGCCGGCAGCGACGTCTCTTGCCTTCCGACCCGAGGACAACAATATTGTCGCTATTGGTATGGAGGACGGCACCGTACAGATTTACAACGTCCGCCTTGACGAGGTTCTCCACTGCTCCCTACCGAATCTTTATTTTTACTATTTATTACCACAAAATCGAATTCGAATCATTTGGAATTGTTTGCAGGTGAAAACCCAGCTCAAAAGTCATCAGAAAAGGGTGACTGGCCTTGCCTTTTCGAGTACTCTCAATGTTCTCGTATCCGCAGGTGCCGATACTCAGGTATGTTTGCTTGCATATACATATCCTTTAGTTATTCATTCTGTGGTATTGAATATATATATATATATATATGTATATCGACGTCACCGTGTTCCTTCCAGTTATGTGTTTGGGGTACCCAAGAATGGGATAGGAAGGCGCATAAATCGTTGACGATTCCAACGGGTCGCACGCCGAAAGCTCTGGCGCAGACGCGGCTACAGTTTCACCCGGATCAGATGCATATACTCGTCATCCACGAGACTCAGATCGCCGTATTTGAAGCTCCGAAACTCGATCTCGTCCATCAGGTAAATTCTTCTTGACAAAACCTTTTCCAATGGAGAACCATGCATCGAAGAATTGACAAAAAAAAGCGTCGATTTTTATGACAGTGGATTACCCGGGATTCCAACTCTACGATAACCGACGCCGCATACTCGTGCGACGGCCAGTCGATCTACGCTACCTTTGACGACGGAAGCCTGTGCATCTTCACCACCGCAGGGCTGAAAATGCGATGCCGGATCACCCAGTCGGCATATCTAAATCCTGTCCCAAAGTACGTCTTATATACACATATTACTAACGAAAATCGTAAAAAACATTCGTCGTTATGCTAATGTCGATCGAAAATGCATTGCAACAGCTCGAGGGCGTACCCGGTGGTAATCGCAGCCCATCCATCAGAGCCATGCCAGTTTGCAATCGGGCTCACTAACGGGGAAGTGCATTTGATGGAGCCTCTCGAGACGGAAGGCAAATGGGGCGTCGCGCCACCACCAGAAAACCGTGCCGGAACGAGCGGGAGCCCCGCCGCTCCGTCGGCGGCGGATCAGTCTTCGAGGTAGTAAGGTACTCTCAACTTTTCATAAATAGCTTAAGCGTGCATGGATGGATAGATTGAAATGTGGATAGAAGAACAACATGGAGAGAGAGAGAGAGAGGAGAGAGAGAGGGGTGTTTTGGGGTTTTCAAGAAATTGATGAAAGTAAAGTAAAGGGCAAGAATGGATGACATTCACATCCTGGTTAGGGATGGACTTTGTAGAAGTTTAGGTTGTGGGGATGATGATATACTATTACTATTGCTATGAGAGATGATGATTCTTGTACTAATGTTTTTGTTCTTTGTCTTTTCTTTTTTTTTTTTTATTTGAAACCACAGTTTATCTTTAGTGTTTTTATTTTATTTATTTACTTTTTTTGTGTAGCTTGTGAAGTTTTATGTATGAAAAAGTTATATAATATTATAAAAGAGTATTTAATGTAATACCTTTTTTTGTATTTTAAGATGTCATTATTTTTTTGAACTCATGACCTACTAATCTAGACTAGATATCATTTGATTATACTATCAGGTCATTTAAATGATATTTTTGAATTTTTATATAATATTTTGCAATAATAGATAATACATTTTTTTCTGTTAGAATTGGCCTAACTCAAATATTATCTGCTTTGGGCTAAATTGTTATATATTTGTTTTTCAATTTTCTTCAAAATGGCTCATCGTGGGACTTATAAAGTACTTTTTTTTTTTCTTAAAATAATAATCCTATTTTGTCATTTTTGTTTTTTTCAAAATAATAATTTTATTTTTATTTTGTAATTATCTCTTTACATTTTTATAAAATTATCTTTATTTTTTCATAATAATTAAATAAAATAGGGGCATTTAAAATCTATTTTACACTCACTATCACTACTATATGAGTTATTTACGAAACGAAGACTATTTAGACAAAACCCATAATTGTGTCCCATCTGCCTAATATAAATGGGCAATAAATGCTTCTTCTATCACTCCACCTAAAATGTTTGGTTAGGAATTAGGAACACACTCAATTAATATCACATTTATTTAATACTCTTAAGTATTTCTTGTAAGGCCACGATATTTTTTATTGTAGATAATTAAAAAAAATACAGGATAATTTTATTTCTATAACATATAAAATAGTATGGCCATAATATTGTCCTTTAAAATGAATTCAATACGTAATTTATAAAACTTTATTCGATTTAATATTTACTATGAAAAACCACATTCCCATTCTACACTCAAACACATTCCCAGATAAATGTATATATTTTGTTATTTTTATTTATCTCATACCAATATACATACTGATCTCTGTTGGTATAAAAATTATTTTAATTTTTATATAAATTACAAATATACAAACATTTTCTACGAAGAATGTAAAGTACAAATTTGTCATTTTTTTTTTTTTTACATATTTCAATATTTCTTGATCTATTCTAAAAAAAAATAAATATATAGTTTGGATGGAAAAATAAGAAGTAAATAATCAGTATAATAGTTTTTTTTTTTTTTTTTTTTTAAGCTCAGTTTAGCACTTTTTTTTTTTTAAAAAAAAAAAATCTTTGTATACTATAATTTAGTTGTTCTACAAATATATGTATATATCAATTTTACACATTAAACATTATATTCAACTACTTTCTCATTAGTATAAAATTACATTTAAAATGTTTGGGTATGAAAAAAAAATAATCCAGTATTTTAATAATTTGTGTATATTTATTTATAAAAATAGAATTAGAATTTCATAGGATTGATTGATAACCAGGCTTGTTTCTTTTACCCAAAAATCTCAAATTTTTATTATTTGAATTTTACGATTTTTTACTAAAAATATATATATATTTTTTCAAAACATCTTAGTACATTATTTTATTATTAAACCCAAAACCAAACCAAAATTTGTTCAAATCCATAAAAAACAAATACAACCGTAAAATTTAAATTAAAATAGAATATATATATATATATATAAAAGAAATATACGAGATTCATTGGTAGTAATTGTATAAATAAATTTATAAAAAAAAAAACAAAAAAAATTAAACTGTCTTTTTATACAGACATAATAAAATCAATAAATAAACACTTTTACAAGGCATACTGGAGTACTATTTATTTTACCAAATTTTCTTGATTCAATCAAATAAATTTTCACTTTTATATTTTCCACACCTCAACTTGACCCGGCCCGGCCCGGCCCGCACCGAACACGCTCCAGCCTCACAAATAGTCCTCGAAATCTCCGCCACGAGGTCCCGTCCCTATAAATCCCCCCACCCCCGCCCCACCCACTGTCCCCTCCCAAACTACCACCGCCGACGATGACCGGCGCCGCCCCCCGCCTCCGCTCCCCTCCCCGAAACGGCGGAGTCCGACATTCCCCCGAAACAGCCCGCAAGAAGTCGCCGCCTCCGCCGCCGTCCTCCTCCGCCGGCGGCATCTGGGAGAGTGCGCATTTCCTGAAATGGACGGCGGCGGACGCGCTCCGGCTGCCGGTCCGCCACCCGATTCCGTGCGTCCTGGCGGCTTCCCTACTCTTCTTCATGGCGGTGGAATACACGCTCCGCATGATCCCGGCGACCTCTCAGCCGTTCGATCTGGGCTTCGCCGCCACCGCCGCCCTCCACCGCGGCCTCGCCGCCAGCCCCCGCCTCAATACCCTTCTCGCCGGCCTCAACACGGTACGGACGCCCCCCGCCTATACATACATTATACATACATACAGATAATTACAAACCCCCCTTGGCCCCCTCCTCTCTCTCTCTCTCTCTCTCTCTAGTATCTCTTTCTATATATCTATCTGTACATTACCTTAATTTCTACTAGTATTTATATTTGTATTTTATATGCTTCCATTTTTTACTAGTGTTTATTTTTTCATTTATATTTAAAATATTAAAATTCTTTCGTTCATAAATAATGTTTATATGTGTTGAGTTTTAATAACAAAGAAAACAAATACTCCTATAAATTTAATGAACGGAAATTACTATTTTATGAGAAAATGATAAAATAAATTTTTTTATTTTTTTTATCATTATTAGTCCCATTTGCTTTTTAATAGCTTTTTTATACAGGGTTTTTTTTTTTTTTTTTTGGATTTGAGAAACATTGATTTGAATTTAAGTATGAAAAAATAGTTTTTGATGTGAGACACAAAGTTAAATAGTAAAATTGGGACAAATTTGCTTAAAGAAGCAAACCCATGGTTTTGTAATATTGCCTCAAATTATTTTTGAATATTAAAAAATACAATTACTAAACAAATAAATCAATAAATTGATTTTGAATAATTAAAATAGTAAAACAAATAGATACATAGATACAATGGAAAAGGAAAGAAATCATAAATTTTCATCAATAAAGAAAAAAATATAAAATTGTTAGTACAGATGAGAGATTTATTCAGAGTAGGTAAAAAGGCTCCTTTGTTGTTTACATGTTAAACTTTTCCTCATTTGATGTTCTTTATTATTTTAAAAAAAAAATTATAATAAATATTATTATTATTATTATTTTTATAAAATATCAAATTAAATATTTTTTTTTTTTTTTCAAAATTTTAAATATTTCCAAAAATATCTATCTAAACGAAGTCCATGTTTGAGGGTTTAATAAAAAAATGAGTGTAAAAACTGTGACGAATGTATAACGGTGGAGTAATTAAGAAAATATATAGTAAGCAGTACTCCTTCTGTCCCCTTCACATTTATTTTTATGTAATTATATTTAATATTAAAATTATTTTTATATTTTATAATATATTTTTTTTACAAATATTTTTTTATTATAATCACTAGTAAAAATATTTTTATAATTTCTTTAATTTATATATAATAATTAATATTGAAAATAAGCGAAAACACCAAAATAAATTTGACTCTTGAAATTGGGAAAAAATAATATAATATGTATGTATTGAGAATGAAAGGTGTTTGTGGGGATGCAAACAATGTACATATTATGGACGTGGGTGATCGAGGGTCGGCCAAGATCCACCATTGCAGCCCTCTTCATGTTCACCTGTCGTGGAATCCTAGGATACGCCACCCAGCTCCCTCTACCCCAGGTCACTCACTCACTTATAATTAATCTAATTAATAATTCATTATTAGATAATTAATCAATTGATTAATTCATGACAGGGGTTCTTGGGATCAGGGGCGGATTTCCCGGTGGGGAACGTGGGGTTCTTCCTGTTCTTCTCGGGACACGTGGCGGCCTCTGTGATCGCGTCGCAGGACATGAAGAGGCTCCAGAGATGCCACCTGGCCCGCCTCTTCGACACCCTCAACGCGCTCCAGATCCTCCGCCTCTTGACCACGCGCGGCCACTACACCATCGACCTCGCCGCCGGACTCGCCGCCGGAGTGCTCTTCGACTCCATCGCCGGCGAGTACCAAATCTCCCACAAGCTCAACCACTAATTACTACTTATATTTTTAATACAATTTTCTATCTTTTATGTATATTATTATTATTATTATTATTATTATTATTATTATGGAGTGTGAATTAAAATGCAATGCTGCTGCTTCCGCTTTCTTACAGACTTTTCTTTCAAGTCTTGGTTTTATTTTCTATATGGTAAGGTTGGTGGGGGTGTAGGTGACACTGCAGCAGTGCTTATTTATTACAGTACGACAGCTCCCACGGACAGACGCGTCTGAACATAACTGCCCAAAAGTGTAATTGTAATGGTAAGAATTAAATAAATGAGACATGGCAGGGCAGTCTGGGCAGACTTCACCGAAACACAAACCCACACTCAAAACCGACACGTCATTCCCACCAACAGCGTAAATCTTTCTTCTGTTTTACAAATTATGTAATATTTTCGCCGTCACACACAAAGTAAATATTTAATGGGTAATTAAAAGTAATATAATGATATATTTCTCCTTGCTTTTTTTTTTTTTTTAAAGTAACAATGTGATATAAAGTAAGAATATTTGTGAAAAAAGTGAGATATTTAAGTAAAATGTTTACTTGTAATTGAACATTTTAAAATAGAAAGATATATACTTTTAGTTAGACGGAGAGAGTATATTTTTATATTTTAAAAAATACTGCATTAGAATTTTTTGTGATTTTTAAACTCCGTTCAAATTTTTATTTTACTTTAAACAATTGAATGACACTGTTTATATTTTTAAAAGTATTACATGAAATCTGCCGCTGTGCGAAACATATAGATAATTAATCATCTGATCATCGCACAACGAATGTTACATGATAGCGGAGTTCCATTTAACATTTATTAATATAAGGAGATGTCATTCAATTTTTTAAGGAAAATCATTTTAAACTCCAACGCTTTCATATTTTGTATACTATTGACTGAAAATTTAGTCGTGGCCGAACTCTAGGATGTCACATTCGATTTACACATTCACTGTATAATTAATCCATACAAAATACTATTTTCAAAATAAATGAAAATAGCAAATGCAACAAAATTTGTGTGAATAGATAATAATAATTAAATATAAAATTATTTATTTTATCAAAATTAGTAATAAAATAAATTTAATTTACAATTTTATTTTATTTTAAAAAAATTAACTAAAAAAAATTACTGTCTGTATGTATGTGTGTTTGATTCTTGCAATAATGATTTACCAAAAAAATCCTGACCGCAAGATCAAACAAGCTTCTTCTTCCATGGAATCCCTACATAAACCCTAAACCCTGTTTACCTTATCCAGTGCAGCCCCACGCCACGCCACGTAACCTTCAAATCTCCGCCACAATCATCCACCTTCCATGCCATCCAACCTCAGTGCCAACAAAAATCCCACCACCATTCTAAAAATTCAAAAATGGCTCTGTTCTTGGCGCCACCGCCGCCGAACCCTAAATACCCAAATCCAAACCCTAACCCAAACCCCCAAACAAAATCAATCACGCACAATCACAGGATTTTAATCCACCACGCATCCACCGCAAAATCGACGGGAATCCGCTGCTTGAGAAAAATCGTAAACGCCACGCCGCCGTCGATTGCGGAAGCAGACGGAAGGGATTCGAACTCCGGCGACCGGATTCCGCTCTCCGACGTGGCGGTAATTCGGCGACCGAACGTCTTCCGCCGCGGCCGGAAGTGGAATTCCCTCGACGTGGCGACGGTTGCCGTCGTCGTCGCTATGCATACGCTCTGCCTCTTCGCTCCTTTCACCTTCAATTGGAGCGCCATTGCCGTCGCTGCTGCTCTGTATCTCATCACCGGCCTCTTCGGAATCACTCTCTCCTTCCATAGAAACCTCTCCCACAGAAGCTTCAAAATCCCCAAATTTCTAGAATACCTTTTCGCTTACTGCGGCGTTCAAGCCCTTCAGGTCAATCAAATACATATACGTATATATATAGATTTGTATGTATAATTTTGCATTTGTGCAAATTTGCAGGGGAATCCAATGGATTGGGTGAGCACACACAGATATCATCATCAATTCTGCGATACAGAGAAGGATCCACACAGTCCAAAGGAGGGATTCTGGTTCAGTCACATGAGTTGGCTTTTCGACACCAACACTGTTCTTGAAAGAGTAATTTTAAATTTTTTTTTTTGTTAATCTGTCCTTGAAATTATATAAAACACCCTCTAGGATAAGAAAAAAATATAATATCTTGATGATACTTGATCATAATTTATGTTGAATAGTCATTTCATTTGTAATTGAATGATATTTATGCAAATAAGTGTGATCGAATGGTATTTGTAATGTGTATGGGATGGATAATTACCAAATAAGAAATGTATTTCTTGTTAAGTGGAAAATTATTTTGGAGATTTTGGACATGATTAACTTTGATTATCTATCTATCAAAGAAGTTGTGATCTAATTGTTTTTATTTATAACTATCTATGAACTATGATTTATATATTTCTTGCCATCTTGTTGATTTGAATGATAATTATGATTTACGAGATCAGTCTGATAAAATATTCTTACACAATTTTATTGTAAATTTGTACATATAATAAATTATATATATTCTTAAATTTTAAAATAGTTGTCATCCCGCAATAGAATTTCAGAAGTTGGCTATCCGAGATTAACAACTTCGGATGAATTGCAGTGTGGGAATTCGAGCAATGTTGGTGATTTAGAGAGGCAGCCATTTTACAGGTTTTTGAAAAGCACTTACATAGTTCATCCAATGGCTCTTGCAGCATTGCTTTATGCAATTGGAGGGTTTCCTTACATTGTTTGGGGAATGGTATGAACATTAATTAATTCAATTTTGATTGATTGATTCTTGTCCTGATCAAGATTAGGTTCTTATTTCATCCTTCAATCGAAATTGGATATTTGGATTGGATAATATGGATTGAATCTTGTGTAATGTTGCCAAGAATTCACACTCACACATTGGTATAATGGTAGGGCCATAAAGAACATGGTTTGAAGATCTTATGTTGTAGTAGACAGATCTAGATTGTTTCGTTTTGGGCCACTCGTTGATTGTGTGAAAAGAAACTATTATGCCTATGTGGTCCTCATTATCCGAATCCCGACAGCAGTGATAGCTTGTCTTTGTTTGTGTATTTTAGTGTAGAAATAACTTATCCGGCCCTATTGAATATACAACGGCGCATTTGTCTTTGGTGTTGTTCGTGAAAATGTGTTTGTAATTAAGCTATTCTATCATTTTTGAATTAACTAATATGTACATTGTTGACATGAGTAAAAAATTAATATATGTTCGTAATTTTTTTTTCTTGTAGTAGATTATGAAATAATAATATTTATTGGTTAGTAGATGTGTATAAGAAGGTTTTGTCATTTTTTATCTTTGTATTTTATCGATAAATTAATTGTATATGTAATACTACTTCCGTCCGGCTCTAAAGGTCCCATTTACTTTTTGCGCGTTGATATTTGAATATTAATTATTATATCAAAGTCGTAGTACACATTAAGAAAAAATTGCAAAAATACTTCAATTAATATCTTATAATACTAATAGAAAGACAAATATAAAAATATGTCTAATGTTAATACAATGCGCAAAAGGTAAATGTGACACGTAGAAGCGGACGGAGGGAGTAATATATTTGTAATATTTTTAAAATTAAAGATATTTTAGTACAAGTGTATGATTACTGATATATTTGCTTGGAACAGACAAAAATAGTTAAAATTTACATTAAATGGGGACGGAGCATGTGTTGTCCTGGTTCATACTTGTAAGCGTTGTCGTATGAATATATTTTTTGTGTTGAAATTAATGGCGTTACGTGTTTTGAGGGATTATGTCATGTGTTGTCGGTAGATATCTTGTATTTTTAATATGTTAAAATAAATCGTGTGCTATCGTTATATCATGTGCTGTCATTAAATGCGGTGTTGTCAGTACTGTACTGAATTATAACAAATGTCATGCTTCTGTTCGCTTCGTTTTTATTTACGACGTTTTCATCGGCGACATTGTAGGGTGTGAGGATCGTGTGGGTGTACCACATAACTTGGTTTGTGAACTCGGCGTGCCATGTCTGGGGACGACAACCTTGGAACACCGGGGACCTTTCGCGCAACAACTGGTATTCGTATTCTTCCTCTTCGATTCGACCAAGCTCGATCGATCGCGTTATCGAATAATCGGTATTGTATATGTACAGGTGGGTGGGTTTGCTTGCATTTGGGGAAGGATGGCACAACAACCACCATGCCTTCGAATACTCGGCAAGACATGGACTGGAATGGTGGCAGATCGACGTCACTTGGTACGTCATCAGACTTCTAGAAGCCGCCGGAATAGCCACCGACGTCAAGCTTCCCACCGCCGCCCACCGCCGGCAAAAGCTCCGTATGCTTTAACAGTCGTTTAACTTAGAAGTCTCGTACTCATTTTGCAATTTAATCCGATTTAATGATCCCACAATTACAATTTCACTTCATAATATTTGGTAAATAATTAATATAATATAAATAGATATTTGTCAAAATTCTACAAAAGGATCACAATTGAATTTGAAATTTATTAAAAATCTTTAAAAGAACTTGGATCTGAAATATGGCATTACCTTACCCAATTTGTGCAGCAATCAACCCCAAAATCGTCAATTAATTAATAGATAAAATACCACCTCAATTTGTGTTATATTGTACGTATTTTTTAAAAATATATTTAAATCTATTTTACCTAACAATATTTTACAAGTTAATTAAAAAAAAATGCATATAAAATAGTGAAAGAGTATAATTGTGTTCAAATAAAAATAAATGAAAAATATTTCCAAAATATAATAGTGGATTTGTTTTGTTGTAAGTTGAAGTATATGTGATTTTTTTCTTTCTAATACTCCCCTTTTTCTATCCCATAACTATGTATCAATTTATTTTTTGCACGAAGTTTTAGAAATATTAGCATTATATTAGGATATAGTATGAATAAAGTAAAAATGACTAAAATAACCTTATTAGTATTGTGTGATATAAAGGTAATTGTATTTGTGTAATATATTGAAAGTTGTAAGGGTATTTGTAATATTAAGTAGATAGTACATACTGACAAACCAAAATGAAAAAATTAATACTTTATTATGAAGAAATTCAAATAAAAAATGGATATTTTGTTATGAGATATAGCGAGTATAATATAAAAGATAAAAATTTGGTTTAATTTATAAAAATTACATATGTGAAAAATATAGCTTAAAAAAAAAATGACCTAAATGATTAATGGTAGATATATTTTAGATTAACAATTTTTGTTCAAATTATGTCATTTAATTTGAAAAAATTTGTCGTAGTATATATCATTCATTGTTATAATGTGACGTGTCCCATTCAGCTATATATATAGATAGGGTTCCGTGTACTATATATAGTAAAGATTTTTGTCCCAATAATTTGTGTACATGTTTCCAAAATTAGAGTGGGTTAGTTGATAGGTTGGTAGTTACAAATAATGCAAATCTAACGGCTACTTCTTGTCCTAATTTCCCATTCAATTATTACAACCGGAATAATTTGATGTGTTTTTTTGGGTTTGGTTCAAAATAATTTATTTTGAATTTGATATTAAAATAATATTTGATATATAAAAAAAAAATGTACGTTTTTTATTCCATATATCCTGCAATTGTTTGATTTCGGTATGTCTTACCTACACTATCAGTGTGTTTGTTTTGCGAAAATGATTTGAAAATATATATTTTTTTGTGTGAGATATGGGGAATAATGTTAAAAAAAATAACTATAATTTTTTTTTTCTCTTCACATCAACTAATTCTCAATTTATTATACTTAATACTGTCAATATAAATTCTTGTACCGAAAACTAAGGCTCCGATTATGCAATCAATTTTCACTCGTTTGGTATTATTCATTTTTTAAAACATATATCATATCAAATATATTTTTTCTCACAAAATATCAAATTAAATACTAATTTTTAACTTCTTCTTTTTTTTTTTTTTTTGTCCAAATTTTCAAAATTACAAAAATCTCCAAAAACTTATATCTGAAACGGAACGTAAATGTTTCACCATATGTGGGATAAAAGTAATATTTTACTTTTTTTTTTCAAAAAATGCATAATTCAAATAGTAAAATTTTAAATATATATAGAAACACAAGTACTTAAATAATTAAGGTTAATTAACATCATTATAATTAGCCATAATCAATATATGAAATATGAACCGCCAATATATAATTATTGTTGTACTACTTCTGTCCGGCTTTAAAGTTTTCATTTACTTTTTGCATGTTGATATTTGAACATTAATTATTATATCAAAACGTAGTACAAATTAAGAAAAAATTGCAAAAATACTTTCATTGGTGTCTTATAATACTAATAGAAGAATATTTGTACAAAAAAAATATATACAAGTACAATAATATTTTTAATGTTAAGTACAATAAAACAAAAAGTAAATGTAACCTTAGAGACGAACACAAAGAGTATTATTTATTTATACTATGTTAATATCCTTCTTGTGTTATTGTTTATATCCCATATATTATTCATATATATTTCATTTGAATGTCGGGATAATATTGATTAATCTCAATTAATACCATAAATGTAACTAGATACTAAATTAGATTTTTTCCGACGGACGGCGACGAGTCGGCTCTATTATTACTATGCGTTAAAATTCAAAGAGTAATAGCTAATCAATTTGTCATTTGGAAAGTTGTGTTGAAAATGATGTAATTACAACATTATTTTTCTTAATTATTTTTATACTCTCTCCGTTCACAAACTAATGTCCTACTTTCCTCTTTGGGACGTCCAACAACTATTGTCCTATTTTTTTTTTAAATACAAATTTTACATTTTTACCCTTCATCCATTTATTACTTTTCATATCTACCATACAATTAAAGGCAAATTTGTCAATTCATAATAAAAAGACAATCACCTAAAAAACCGAGCAAATATACTTTAGAACAATAGAAATTGGACGGAGGGAGTAATTTAGAATACTAATCATTTATTCAATTCAAAGTTGTGTTAAACAAGCTTTCTAGTTGTTTTCTAAATGTTCTTTTTTTTTTTTTTTTTGACACTATTGAAGGATAGACATGGTTTGTATAATTTTTTTGTCCCTATAACATCAAATGAAATATTTATTTATTTTATTATATCAATATTTTATTTCATATTCAAAATATAACGTTATTATATCCTTATATCACATTAAATAATTAGTCAAATTTAAAAATTTTAGAATCTACAACTAAAAACACTCTTATTTTTTACCTGAAACTTTATATTACATAAAATAACAAAGTAATTTTATTAAATGTTTATTCTAATTATATTTGTAAAGAAAATTTCAATTTTTAAATAAAAAAAAGACAGAAAAAAGAAGTTAGTACCCAAACCAAATGTATATCTAAGCAGTAAAACAATGAAAATTTAAATTTATTACTTTTGCTTTTGCTTTTGCTTTCACTTTTTTTTTTCCGTAAAACATTAAAAATATAAATAGGGAAATCTAAGGATATATACAACGATTTATTTATTTATTGAATTAAAAGGTGCAATAATAAAGTTATCTTTAATTATTCTTTATGTCAATTTAACTGGATACTAATGGTAATAAAAGTAAATAATAATAATTACTATTTTCGTCTGTCAACAAGAGTTTCATTTGTTTTTACAACGAATATAAAAAAATATTGTATTATAATATCTCTCGTCTTATCGAGAGTTATACGAGAATTAAGGAATAATAGTATTTAATTGAAAGTTGGTATAAAGTATGATGTAAATTATTAAAATGCCTTTGCTTTTTGAAGAATTTTAAAGAGTATGTTATAGTAATAATTAGGGATAGTATGGAAAAGTAAGAATAATTTTGTTATAAAATAGAGACCACGGCTACTAAATAAAGAAACAAGACAATTGTTTTGAGACGGACGAAAATGAAAAAATAAAACAAATCTTTTGGAACGGAAGGAGTAATAGTTTGTGGTATTTTAAATTAAATAATAAATTTATCTTTTGAATTTATTTGTAATGAAATTGTATTTGTGTAAATAACAGTAATTAGGCCATCTCCATCCCTCCACTCTATTTTTGCAATTGCTACAGTAAAAATGCAGTTGATCTACAGTAATTATTACAACCATAAACTTCAATTTTTACTCTAAAAATATATTCCCTATATATTCCTCTTTTATATTATTTTATATAACTTTTCATATTTATAAATTACAGCTCAACTTTAATTTATTTCTACATTAGATCCATACACATATAATTTATAAATTATTTAAAAATTACATATATAAAAATTAACATTTAAAAAATAAAATTATATATTACTTTCCAAAAACTAAAATTATATCACTTTTAAAAAATAAAATTATACATTATTTTTCAAAAAAAATAAAATTACATATAACTTTTTAAAATATAAAATTATATATCATCTACTAAAAAATTTAAAATTACACAATACACCAAAAAATACAAAAAATATAAAAACCACCACAAAAACTCCACTAAAAAAATGGAGTGGAATAACAGTGTTACTCCATGATTCCTGCAAAAATGAGAGGGGGATTTGGGGGTGGGTTGGAGCCCCTTCCCCCATTTTTGGTATTGATAATGAGTAGCTGAATAGATAGTTAATAAATGGGAAAATATAACTATTGCAAGTGGACATCCAAAAATAGAAAATATAACTCATATTCTTGATGAGTGAATTTTTTCTTTTTTAATAGTAAAAATAGCTGCAAAATTAGTATTTCATCCATACCACTTACACTATTTCATCTTTTTATTTTCGTATGTCTAATTTGTTTTTTCACATTTCTTTTTTTTAAAAGAAATTATGCATTTTAATTTCATTTTAATTCCTTTAATTTATAATTTTAATACCACTAATTAGTTATCTTAATTATAATATAAAATTACTATTAATTATTTACTAATTATACACATCTTAAATTCTCATATTTACAGTAAAAAGGAATATAATTACACAGTGGCAGAGACCGGAGGGAGTATTTTTTATTAAAAAAAGATTTTTTTTCTTCAATAATAATTCGAAAAGTAGACATAAATCTGAGAAAATAAAATATTTTTAATTTTTTTGAAAAAACTATCCTAGGATAATTAATTCAAAGGAGTAGATGCGGCCCCTTCACTCTCCATATATATATACACACAGGCATACATTTTCAGCTCAAAAATTGATTTCTAGATTATTCGATCGCATCCGATAATCGCCGGCGAGATCGACCATGAAGATTGTGGAGGAAGAATACGTCGTCGCCGGAGACGAAACGCACCTCACGGTAATGAAAACATCGCTCTTCTTCTCCGGCGACGGCTTCACGGCCTACGATTCCACCGGAAAGCTCGTCTTCCGAGTCGACTCGTACGGACCCGACGCCGCCGACGCCGGCGAAGTCGTCCTCATGGACGCCTCAGGCCGGTGCATCCTCACCGTCCGCCGCAAGGTAATTTAATTTAATTTAATTTTTTTAAAAATTTAATCCAACTCGCTGAGTCGAGTTGAGTTGAGGCGAGTTGACTCAGTGAGTTGCTCTGCCTTTTCCGACCGAGTTAGCGGCCGAGTCTGCACCACCGGTGGGAAGGCTTCGCCGGCGAAGGCTCGGAGGGGAAGAAGGCGCTCTTCAGCGTCCGTAGATCTTCGATGATCGGACGGTCGAGCGGAATGACGGTGGAGGTGTACACAGATCCGGCGGAGGAGTACCAGATCGAAGGCTCCTTCGCTTGCCGGAGCTGCACCGTTTTCAACGCCGGTAAAGAGGCCGTGGCGGAGATCCGCCGGAAAGTGGACGTCGCCGCCAATGTGGTGCTCGCGAAAGACGTCTTCGTGCTGTCTGTCAAGCGTGGATTCGACAGTGCCTTCGCCATGGGATTAGTGCTGGTGCTCGATCAGATCCACGGCGCCGCCGCCGACGACGGCGCGGAGGACGCCGCTAGGGTTTGCGTGGATCTCACCACCGAGGGCTCCAAAATTGATACGTAATATTTAAATTTCCTCCCTGTATTAATATATAATACTCTATTTTATTACGTAAATGTTTTTCTTATTATGAAAAAAATGTAAAATAATAATAAATAAATAAATATAAAATAATATATTAAATGTGAAATTAATTGTATTGGTACTTATGTCTTACCGAAGTCCGTCCTTGAGGTTCTATATCTATGTATTTGTTTTTTCACAAAATTTTAAAAATATTAATATTATATTAAAATATAAAGTAAAAAATATTAGAATAATTTTATTAGTACTGTACGATATAAATGTAATGATATTTGTGTAATATATTGTAAGTTGGAAAAGTATTTATAATGTTAAGCAGAAAGCACCGTGGCTAAAAAAAATAGATATTTTGCTATGTGAAGGACAAAAATAAAAAAATAAATAGATTGTTAAGGACCGGAGAGAGTATTAATATGTCCTTTGTATCGGACAAAATCATGTTATTTATTGACATTATATAATTTTTTCTAAAACTATTTTTTAAAACTTATAATGACTAATAATAAATTTCTCAAAAAAATCAACAAAAGTTATTCTAACACAATTTTTAATAAATTTATTTTATTCTTTTTAAAAAAAAATAATAATAAATCAACATTTAATACAATATATTATTTTTTATATTATCGATACAATTTTTCATAACTTACAAATATTATATATGTATTCCAAACTAAAACACTTATGCCTAAAACTCAATTTCATCACTTTATTATTAATTAATCCTTGATAGCATTTTTAGATTAAATATATATATATGAATAATACATAATATATAAATAACCAATAAATAGTTTATATTAATACAAAATAAATATAACACATAAATTGATAACATATTATTATAGTTCATAGAGCAAATACCACCACTAATATGATCACATATATATTAGCGTAATAAAGACAAATAACATATAATTTATGCTAATAAAATACAATGCAACATATGAACTGATAATAATTATATGTTGTGTATATCATTATAATGTGTTGATTAATAAGACAAAATTAATTGAATTAAAGAATATATATATATATAATATTGAATTATATAAATATTAATCCCTAAATTAAAAGTAGGCTAACTGCTCTCAATCAGTTCTTTGATGAATTATTTACCTACTTATATTATGTGTGACTGATTAAATAAAATTTGAATTAGTATATAGTAAATAATGGCCAGTGGGGAATTTTTTTTTGTTTTTTTAATTTTAAATCTAAAAGTATGAATTAATAGTGCTTGGAAAGTTGCAAAGTATTCTTCAAGATAATAATAATAATAAGAAAATAATAGAATGTGTGAAATTAAAGCAAAGGTTGAATGAATATGGGAAGCCACTTTATGACTAAACAGATGCATATTATTATTATTATTATTATTTTATTTTTTATTTTTGGAAGATGTGAGAATTCGCAGTCGCAAACTGGGTAAATCTCCAGTCAAACCTAATATCCTGTAAACCAGGTCCGATGAAAAAGTCACACTAGGCGAACCATGTGTGGCAGGTGACCTGAGGCGTCGGGGATTTGAAGCCATGACATTATTATTATTATTATATGGTAATGAAATAGTGTAATTCAGATAAAATTTATATAGTAATTTGATAAATTTTTGTATGTGATTGAATAATAAGATTTTATTGTATTTTTTATCATTTAATACCATTTTTTATAATATTATATTACTATTATAATGATGTTAAGGTTGTATTCAATAATCACATTTATATATATTATCAAATTAAAATTACATTATTTCACCATGATTTTTTAATAAAAATATATTATATTTTTTAAAAATTTATATGTCATATTAAAATATTATTTAAATTAAAATATAAATTAAACCCATGTATAGGTACTTTTGTATTATTGAAATATGATTAAAAAAAAAAAAGATTATACCCATTAGGCTATTATATATAGTCCATTGTATATTTATATTATATGAGAACCGTTTGACCATTAAAAAAAAAATTAACATCCACAATATAATGCCAAGTAAAGCTATTGTTTGAGCCGAAAGTGTCATATTCCAATTTATATTATTATTGTGTGAAATATAATTATTTAATTTTTTTTATAACGTGAAAATTCGCATTCATTACCCGAAAGTGGACACTGGGTAAACTTCCGATCGAATCTAATATCCTGCAAGCTAGGCCGACAAGACAAGTTACACTAGGAGAATCATGTGTACTTTTTGTTTATTTTTGTATGTGTATTGTATATAAATATGTTATGCGCTAGAATCTATGTTAGAAATTTTAGGAGAAAATAATGAGATTGTCTTGAATCATGATTTTGTCTACTATTGAAGTCATCTTTGTGCATCTATTTGCAACTTTGCGATCCGTCTGCTGCGTTTCTTCATAGTCATGTTTCTGATTGCAATGAGTGTCTCATATTCCAAAATGTAATCTTTGTTATTATTTTCGAAACGTAATTATACGAAATCGATCAAGAAGCCGCGGCCAAAGGAGGCCTCCGGAGACACATTTCTTGATGCAATTTTGAATATGAATTCTCCGACGACATTTCACACAACTGTCTTGTCGAGTCGTAACCCTCTTCGTTGTCATCTTCATCCTCGACATCCCACAAGAATCGAGCATATGAAGCCAATACATAACTGCAAAAACAAAAAATAAAAATAAAATCCGGTGTCAGATTCAATCCCCCAGTACCCATCAAGAGATCTTCACATTCGACAAAATGCACGAGCCACAAACATATATCTAACGATTGATCATTCGACAAGTCCAATTCGGTAGGATTTGTAGAATATAAATGAAAATAGCGCGAGATAGATGAAATCGAAACTTAATTTACACGGCTAAACAAGTCGAAATTTTATTTAAATCTAAATAGACATTTTAAAAACCCGATCACTAGAGTTGCTATTTGAATCATTGTTGCACAAAATCTCAATTCATTAATAATTACAACTAGTCGAGCTCAATTAGTTTTGCCTCAAGCTCAATTATTGAAAATCGAACAAACCATGATTATATTTCTCGATTTGTTAATTATACGAAACAACTCAAACTTGAACTAGAAAATTAAAATTTTTACTATATACTTTTGAAATAATTACTCAATAAATTTCTAACTATTTAACCAATTGAGCTCTAACTCGAAATATCAATAACGTTTAGAGTTAAAAAAAAAATTAAAAACAGTAATATTTTACAAGAAATTATAGATATTTAATAAGATATTTTTAAATATATATATAATATCAAAAACTCTAACGGTGTGTTTGTTTGTGGCTTTTAGTTTTTGAGTTTGGATTTTTAAACATTAAATAGTTGAATTTAAGTAATGTTAATGTGATATCGTGGATATATAATAAATTTGTAGTATAATATTAAAAAAATGGTTTGATTTGATACTTTTGAAGAAAAGAAAAAAGAATTTGAATAATAAAAATCAGTGGTAAAACTCACAAAGGAACACAATCTAAGTGTTTGTCCTTGGGTTTTAATTTTTTGGTTTGAATTTTTGAATAATAAAAAGTTGAATTTGAATAGTTATTTGATATAATAAAAATTTGTGGTAAAATCCACAAAATAACGCAAAAGTATTTATCTCGGATCCACGAGCTTTGTATATGTCATGGATGGAAATTCAGACAAAATTATCGACGAATAAATCGCGACTCACCAATCGTCGGGATGAGTTCTTACAGCCCGATCGAAATACTCGTCGGCTCTTTTAGCGTCGCCGTATATTTGCCACAGCAAATCGGCGTATACAGACATCATATAGTTAACATCCATAGGATCGGCCAAAATGGCCCTCCCACATACCTCCTCGGCCTTTCTCAGCTCTCCCTTAACCTACACCAACAAATTCCGACCGCCGGCCGTCGCCGATTAATCTCCATGTCCGAACACTAATAAAAGCTTTGTAAGAAAATCAATCAATGGCGGATTCAATTCGATTTACCTCTTTCAAAAATTTAGCATAATTCGACAGCAACAGAGGATTCCCTGGATTCGCTTTTATCATCGTCTCGTAATAAGCTTCCGTACAGCTCACCGGATCGCCGTCGGAGCTTCTCCCGTCGCCGCAGGTCCACCCAGAACCGCCGGCGCCTCCGCCGCCCAATCCGGAGCTCGACAGGAAAATGGACCCTCCGGCCGGACCTCCGTCTTTCGTCTCTTTATAATTAATCGTCGCCGGCGGCCACAGGCTTTTCTTCGAACTCGCCGGAGAATTCACCTCCGGTGAAGTCACATCCGCCGCCATCGTCGGGCAGAACAACCGGGTTCGGGTTATTGGGGATATAGTTTCGGGTGAGGACCCGGACCCGGTTACCGAACTGGGTTTCCATGGATTCAAAATTGGCGTGGAAGAACTCCTCAGTAACATAATTCAGCCTAATTAATGCGGTGGCCGGCGGCGGAGCTCCGCCGTGTTGAGGAGGCGGAGAAATGGCGGACACGGCGGCGAGAGGATTTATAGCGGGGAATGGAATGAGGGTAGGATTGGATATATATATGAGAGAAATCTGCAGAGATTTTTTCCCAATGGGTAAAAGAAGAAAAAGTTGGTCACGTGGAGGGGGTGGTGATGGTGACGGCGGCGGAGGTTTTAGGGTTTCGCCGACGACTTTACAGTTGGAAAGAGGGATTTGTTTGTTAGTAAAAAGATTAGACAATTAATTAAACATTTAATTTAGTGATTAAAGAAAAAGGCGGATTGAATTAGAACTGACAGCACAACTGATTTTAGGATAAGATGTTGACATCAAATACAAGTTTGTAAATAGGCTTCATTTATTTTGGAATTTGGAGTTTGTTATATTAACGTTTTAAATTTAAATTTTTTATTTGTATAATAATATTCAATAAAACAAATATTACTTTCGTCTCATTCTAGGGAGTATTATTACTTTCTTTCGTGTTGATTTTTAACTATTAATTATTATATTAATATATATTATAAATTTAAAAAAATAACAAAAATATTTATATTAGGTATCGAACCTCTATAAAGAGTTTTCCAATTCCAAGAGGAAATTTCTATTAAGAACAAGCAATTAAATTTGTTATCATGGGAGATGCTGACATTTCGATATATTTTTTATTCGAATATAGTTAGAATATATATTTAACCTTTGTAAATACTTTTTATAATTTGTTTGAAAGTTAAAACTCAAAATTAATGGTTTAATACCAGTGTAAATAAAGTCCATATACCAAAAATAAGAAAAATGTACGAGAGTGTATTAATTTTGGTTTTTAGATAAAAATCACTTTTAACATCAAGTATAAAAAATTATATCGATTATATAAAAAACAATATTTAATCTTATATTTTTAAATATATATATATATATACTCAAAATACTGATCGGGCTCGGGTGTTTGTTGATCGTTGAACAATCATGTGCCGACGCAAGGGTGGACCGCGCACCGTGTCCCATTTTTGGGCACGGGTCATGAGTTGTCCCGATCTATCTATCTTATTCTCCTCCAATGATCTTGAGCCATAATCGGTACACCCGACCTAAACATAGGCATGTGCTATCTCTAATTACCCGATTCATTATGGAAGGTATGGATGGGGATTGTCACTTCGACAACCTTACCCGCTATATTGTTGAATAGGCATACATAATACTTCCTACATTAGTTATCTGTAAATACATTTACTATTTGCAAATTGATATAAAAGAATAATAACACTCCCTCTATCCGACATCCGTATAAATATATGTTAGTTATAATTATGTGTATAATATATATTGATCCGATTAAATTAACATCACGCTAACTTAGCTTGACCAGCAGCCATATTTTTTTTCAATATCAAAATACTCATTGTTTCTTATAAAACATCGTATCAAATACTCTGCTTTTAATATTTTTAAAATTTTTCCAAAACTCAATCTCTAAAAATATCTATATGTAAATTGAAAGATACATCTCTTTTTTCTATAAATGACTCCACAATATAGAATAAATTTTTTCAAACTTACACTTATTTACATTAATATTATGTATCAAATTATAATACCAGAACAAAACAATCTTTACACACACATATATATAAATTATGTAATTAAAGTAAATGTATATCTTACAAATTAAAACCAATGGATTGTAAGGATTCACATCTAGTTCGAAATGTTTTACTTGATATGAATAAATATCTTATTACTATGGTAGAATTTATACTTACTAAATAAGAAAACATATCTATTGTTTGCGGTCGCTTTAAATAGCATAATATGTCTACTAGTCGGGGCGAAGGATATATTGCCTACTTCTATTAATCCTCGATCATTTTGAAATGCAACAAAACCAATGGCATAAGTAAAACAAGACAACGCCGAGGAAACCATACCTGGTCGAGGGCTGGATGTCTTCTGCATAATGTTCCGAGAGGAATTTTGAGTTTCTTCATCCAGGAGGAAGCAAATGGATAAGACGATGTCTGCTGGGCGAAGAGAAAACACGGTTATATACAAGAAATGAAGACATAAGAGTGATTGACAATTCTGGATTTGATTCAAGAAACAGCAAGCATACCTCAGTACTGTCGATCAGCTAGCAAATGGTGTTTCTATCGAGGGTTTTAGTAGAAAACAAGAATCTGAGTTCTATAATTCTTTAAGTTCTTATTACTGTAGATGGGCTCAATCGTGCCTGGATTAGAACGATTCTTAGTAACTACGACAGATCTTAATGTATTATTATATATACTTCTATTTTGGACTTCTATAAGTATGTATATATATGCACACATATCGTACAAGCGTAATGTATTATTTCCTATTTCGAGTTCTCTTATTAGGTCTGCCGTTGTTCCCTCCATCCCACGCAGAAGACCAAAAGAAAAGAGACATCCAGAATAGAACGGCGAAGAAGACCTGCAGAGTATCTTTAACTCTGGTGAAAGTTGCCGCTAGACCTGATAAAGATCAATCGAATAACACCCTTTAAAATCTTGCAACTGAATCGAGACACAAGGAAACGGAAGATGGAGTATTGAAATACCATGGAAGTGGAAGTCGATTAAGGTAGGGTGCGGAAAAATTTAAATCAAAATAAGAAACAGAAAAAGGAAACTAAAGAGTTAAAAGAAAGAAAAATCATTCAAAACTCAAGATTAATATTAGGTCACAATAAGCATAACAATAACCATATGAACTCAATTGTAATAGTAGTACCAATTAGTTCTTGCTGCACGAATCAAAATTCCTACCAAATTCAAGTGAGACATATCCAGCAAACATGCGTAACAGTATTGCATCTATGTCGATATGTTATGGGGACATTTACAAAATCTATGGCGCTCTATAAATTCAACCAGAAAATTGCTTGGAACGACCACAAACCCGTAAAAGGGCGCCTGTTCATAATTGCTTTATTATAAGATTAAGACTCCACCATTATAGAAACAACCTTCTTTACACACCATTCCGTAGCATCACGCAGCAACTCAGTTCTACTCGACTACTAACTGTGTGATCCTCCAAGAAACGTGCTCAAGTTCCATTTCTCATCAAGATTAACGTCATCAAAATTTATTCTCAAAGATAGTCAGTACACAAAAGAATCCTCGACTTTAAATTAACATGCTAGTAGCTTCATTCCACACAAAAAATTAAAGAAGACAATGGTGCAAACATTTTACAAGGGGAAACCATATCGAATTTCTTCAAAATTAGAACTCATAACCCTGAATTCAGCAATACAATAAAAAAGATTGGTTATTAGTTACATTACATTGTATAACATTATTTGTGCTGTGCTAACATGCGAAATGTGCAAGTTTGATGTAATACGTGTTGTATGTATTATTGTCAAGTGAAGTCCGTTCATATACAACAAATCACCATTACACAGTTACAATTAAATACACTATTTCTCGAACAAAAATTACATCAAAATACTATTTAAAATAAGAACCTCAATCTCAACCCCAAATCAAACAAACCCCATATCCTTGAATGCAATCCTATTGATACCTCCTACTAAAAACAGATTTACTCTGCCCCTGGTGATTTTATGCATTAATTTCTATGTAGTTAAACGTTAGGGATTAAGAAGGAAAAGGATTATTTCATCGAAAAAATTTCAACCTCACTAACTCAGTAACGCCATATGTTCTTCAATTGAAAGTTAAATCAATCAATGGATCATCCAGGACGCCTATATTTGACTGAATTTTAGTTACTATCAGTTCACAATAGAAATGAAAGGTTCCTGTGAGATTTTGTAAAGCATAAGCTCTTCAGAAATTACAATTAATTCTAGTCTAGGGCATAACTAAATGTTAAAAACGTGAGAATTCAACGAAATCCGCAAACGATACCTGAAGTGGAAGGTCGGTACTTCTCGGAAGGTGGCTCCGGTGGTGGAACGGCGGCGCGGCAACGGCCAGACCAATAATTACGCCTGAAGCGAAACGGACGGTGGAAATCAAATTTATAAGCGCCAACAGGAGTGGATAAGGGCGTCCGGTTTTCGGCGGCGCAATTGTAAATCGCGGGCTTTGTAAGGCTGCTCTGTCGCCGGGAATTGAACGCGGTGGGAAAGGGAAGGAGGAGGGACGCCATTTTTGCCGGTAACCTTTGCCCTCCCAAAGCTAAATTCTAGATTGTTCTTTGAAGTTACACTTTTAGCCAATAAAAAAAGTTAATTAATTAACTAAAACCGATTTTATTTTTTTTTTTAAATAGTAAATATCAAATAAATAATTTTCATCCGTATTCTAAATTTATAGTAATTTTTACATTATTATTCATTTTATTAAAATTTCATGCTCAAATATTTAAACAATGTCTTAACTGATAGAAGGATTAATACCTTCTGTTTTTATTTGACATAAAATATTAATATATTTTATTTCATTAGTTGGCCGACTTATTGATTTGTCTGCGGCTATTTTATAAGTATTATTTAACTTATTAATGAATACTTATTTAATTTAATTTTAAAATCAAGACTGAGGTAATTATGATTGGAGATCTGTTCGACACTCTAAACCTCAATATTCATCGGAATTAATCATCGAAAAGCCATCGGAAAAACTCGTTGGCTCCCCCAAATAACATAAATTACTTTTTATAGAAGATTGAGATTTTTAATTATAAATAAAAATATTTGTTTATTGATGAAAAATAAAATCAAAAAATTTTAAATGAATGTTAGATGATGCATGATTATATGTTATAAAGACAGTTAAATTGGTTTATATTTATTAAATATAATTAAATTAGTAAATTTTATCAAATAAAAAATATATATATATATAAGTTGCTCCATAAAAATAATCTAATGGAGCGAGGGTGGAATAGACACAGATAATAAAAAAATATATTTAATTGAAATTAAAAGAGTATTAGATTTTATAAAATATTAAATTCAAGTTGTTGTTTAAAAAGAAATTAAAACTAAAATAATATCAAAATAAAACGAAATGCCAAAAGAAAATATGAGTCGTTGATTTTAATTTGAATAATATTTTTTTATTTAATTAGTATTTTAATTTTGCTGTAATAATTAGTGATAAAAATAATATTTTTTTTAATTGAAAATAAATTTAATTGTAAACTTTTTTATTTAAAATATAAACAAATAAATACCCAATATTATAGCTTCACAAATGTGAAAGACACAAAGTATAAAAACATATTGAACTATGATACACAGTATAATTTACTCCATTCGTTCCACCACAATTGACACTTTTTTTATTTTTATCTGTCCTGTAACAATTGATACTTTTCTATTTTTGCGTAACATATTTAACAAATATAAATCAACTTAATTAACTACATAACATACAATATTATAAATGACGTAGGACTCACTCAAAACCCATTTATTTCTATATCTCTCTTAAAAAAATAAATATTTCTATCTATATTTAAAACTACACATCTTTTATAAAATTGATTTATGTTCATTATAAATAAACAAAAATATTTTTTTATTTACTTGTATTATAGAAAATTTTATTCTCTTACGAAATGATATTCATATTGCATATCTCTTTTAATTGCTATATAATTTTTAAATATTTAAATATATATTTTAATTTTTTTAATCATATATATTAAATTTACTTTAAAACTATAAATATTATTAATTATACAAAAAAATAATATAATAATATCATAACTGATTATTATTAAGTAATTAAATATTCTCACCTTAAATACCATATCCCTAATCAAATGGTTCAATTTCGGTGAGACGAAAATAGTATTTTATAAAAAGGTTATATCGTCATATTCAAAATTTGGACTGAGATTCAAAGAAATTTGAACTTAGGCAATTTCTTTCGATCTAAATCCAATTGTTAAAAACATATCTTAATTTTGAATGGACCTAAATTAATGATTCTACAAAGACATGAGATTTTTGAAATTGTGAAAATTTGAAAAAAAAATAAAAAAAAATCATACTCCCTTCGTCCCACATAATTTGTCCATTCATTTTTTGAAAATATAATTATACACTTTAATCTCATTTTAAATTTTAAATTTTATAATTTTTTTAATTTTAATTAAATTATTTAGTTATCTTAATCTTAATCCACAATTATTTTTATTAATACACTTCTTAATTACTTACTAATTACATTTTACCTAAATTCTCGTATTTACAGTAATAGACCCATAATACATGGGACGGAGGGAGTATTTGATTTGATATTTTGTAAAAAATATATATATTTAATGTAATATTTTTTAAAAAATAAATAACACCAAATAAGTAAAAATTATTTATGTAGGGTGTGTTTGTTTGAAGGATTTTGGTGGATTTCCACTATTCATCCAATTTTTTTCCCCAAAAAACATCAAATCAAACACCTATTTTTCATTTTTTATATTATACTAAAAATCAATTTTACATTCAAAACATCACATCAAACCCTATTTATATCACATCATACAACTATTCAAATTCATAATTTTTACTATTCAAATCCCAACTCAAAATGCAAACTCCCAAACAAACACACCCTAAGGAAAGCTAGTTTGTACATCATTGGAAAAAAAGAACTTACTAAAAATTCATTCACCTGTATTTTCCTCTTATTTTAATTAGAATATATATATATTTATTCAATAAAACACTATATTCATTATTTAAATTTTATTTTAAGCATTATTTCAATCTATTTCATTTTAAAATATCCCAAATTACCAAACTACTATGTACATCACACATATATATACATAAATTATGTATCTATAAACATGTTCACATGCATGATGACAAGAACTATGAAATCACGTGAACAAAAATCTTATCTGGTATTTACCCGTGCACATTTTCAGGTAGCGACGGCATATTTCTACATTATATAAAAAATAATGATAATAATAATAAAAATCTCATCTAATATTCAAATAATGAACATAAAAAAACCAAAAAATCGAATAGCAAAATTAATTTTCTATATATATATATATGTAGGGTCATAATTAATTTCAATTAAATAACTACTGTAAATTAAATTTCCCAATTTCAATTAAATAACTACTGTAAATTAAATTTCCCAATTTCAATATACGTGGGGTCACAATTTATTTCAATTGGTTTACAAATTAATTGAACGAGGGGTAAAATGGTCAAACGAACCTCCGGGGGAGTGCTGCGAATTTTCCGGAAATGGAGGGACTCTTCTGCAAAAAAGCCTCTGTCAGCCATGGGTGGACCTGCAACTGAAGTTTCTGGTTTCGTTCTGCACAAAAAATAATAAAATATTTCTGGCCAGAAATTGTGTTTCCCATTCACAAATCGACACGACAATTCATAAAGCCCTAAAATTTGGGGATTTTTTTTTTTTTTTTCACCAATTACAATTCTGTATTTACAACAAATCCCTGTTTTTTTCTACACAATTTGAACCGTCGCCGGAAAAGTTACAGAGAAACTAAACCAGAAGCATTGTCGCCGCCGCCGCCGCCGGAGATGGAATTAGTAAGAATATTCCATACGGTGGAGGCGATCCCGGAGAATCCCGCTGTACAGCGCCGCCCGATTCGCCGGCATTTTTTTCAGTTCGAGAGTTTCGTTGCCGCAATTGGCGGCGGCGGCGCCGTGATCGGATTCCCGGCGCCGCCGCCGGTAGATTTCTCCGTTTCCTTTGGATTCTTTGACATCCTCAGCGAATTGCACTCTTTTTTTGCTTTTCTTGTTTCCTAAAAATCCCCAAATTGAAACCCACTTTTAAAAATTAACAATTTATATATATATATATATAATTATATATATGTATGTATAGGTAGGGGTAGGGGTACCTGAAGAGAGGCAAGATTTGAGGGGGGGAGGATTCCGATTCCGATTTGGCGGCGGCGGCGGCGGCGGGTGGTGGTGGTGGTGGTGGGGGAAGTATTTGTCGCGGAGGAGATCGAAGAGGATGATGGTGCCGGCGGAGACGGCCATGGCGGTGGCGAAGACCAAACCTTGAGAGGTCAACATGGACGACATCAAGATCAAGAACTAACCATCAACAATTCCCAAATACCAAATAAAAATACAAATACAGATAGATATACAAATGCAAATATAATAATAATAATAATATTATTATTATAATCAATTTGTATTTATTTGGTGTTTAATAATAATATTATTATTGCTACTGCAGAAGGAAGGCTGTGTCCGAGTTGGTGTCCGGCCACGACATTAAAATAACACTAATAAGGCCAATAGCTCCTCCCCTCTGTATATAAATAGATAAAAAAATAAAGGGTTTTGTCCTAGGTCTTAAAATGTCACATTTATATTTTGTGTATTTAATATTAAAAAAAAATATTTTTATATTTATATAATATTTTTATAAATATCTTTATATTAGTATTATAAATGTTAATTGAAGTATTTTTATATATATTTTTTAATTTGTACTATATTTTGATATAATAATTAATATTCAAATATCAATACAAAAAGATATTTGTGAAAAAAATATATATATAAATTTTTTTCGAAAAATACAGAAATCAAATAATAAAAAATTGAGAATTTTGAGAATAAAAAAAGAGAAGAAAGATGAAGTGGAAAATGGGTTTTTTTTTATATTAAAAAATAAAAATGAAAAAGATAAATAAAATTGGAAAAGGTGGAATTAGGAAGTGCACCACACGGAAGGAGATGAGGCCTCTGGTTGGGAAGAAGGGTCAAGAGTTTATTAAATAAAAATAAATAAATAAATAATGGGTTTTTTTAATAAATTGATTTGTTTGGTTGTGACAAATATACATACACGAAATATTTAAATAAAAATTATATACTTTTTTTTCTTTCATCGAAAAGAATATTTATTATTATCTTATTTGGTCATTCACGACATATATAAGCATACTTAACAATGTTAGGTATGCTCATATTCATATTTAGTAAAAATACATTTTTTTAAATAAAAAAAAATAACAATTTTTTTTTTTTTTTTAGACAAATGTTCTATAAAATCTCAATTTCATCCTTACAAATAATACATAAATAATACTAAAATATTATTTTTCTTAATTCTTATGTCAACAAAATTTGAACATTATTTTATGGTGGGAATAATTTTTTTATCCATTTCTTACAAACAATGACTATACAATTAAACATATTGACAAAATACTTACTGTTTTTAATATACTTATCCGATTTTCTATATCTCAAATAAAAAAAAATATATTTTTCAAACAATTTTATTGAACAAACACAGTATATTTCTACTCGATTGAGAGAATATATTATACTCGCTTCGTCCCAATACAGTAGTCTTGTTTACTATTTTTGTCCGTTCTAAAACAATAGTCTCATTTCTATAAATAATCATATCACTATAAAACTACCTTTATTTTTTTATTATTATTACACAATTGCTACTACTTTTTACATTAATACACTCATAAGTCTTTTACCTGTATTTTTTATTCACTACTAATATAATATCAATATTTCTTAAATCTCGTGTCAAATCTAACTCAAACTATAGTTTTCGGAAGGAGGGAGTATATAACTATTACTCGTATAATTGCGTATGGAAACATACCTATTTTTTATACAAAAGGTAATTTTATTTATTTTTTATTTTTAAATAAACTCCTACAAAATTCAAATTAATAAAAAAATTGATGACCAAACCAAAACCTTTTTTAAAGGAAGGTTGTAGATGATGATGATATCAATGAATAATATTATACATATAAAGTAACGTAATTAAATAATAATAATTATAATAATAATAATAATAATAATATAATTAATATTTAATTATTTATTGGTGGGGTGAGGTGTGTGTTTTGTCATGTGAGGCGTGTGAAAGCATTATGTATGATCCATTTTTTTCTGGCAGTCCTTTTACTTTCTATTGGTTGCAATTTTTCACTTTACTTTTAATTCTTCCCTTTTTTACTAAATTATAATAAAATAAAAATAATAATAATAATAATAATTGAACACATATCATTCATCACCTCTACTTTATTAGTAATAATTCAATTTTAAATTTTAAACCATAATTAGTCAATAAAGGGCTAATATTAATTAATTTATAGTTGGTGGATTCTTCTAAACTGGAATATATTTCTATGATGGTAGCAGTTTTTTTAATTTTGATTGTTTTAATAGTGAAAGGTGAATCCCTCTCTCCCGGTGTAAGGTTACCGTTTACTTTTTGCACGTATATATTTTAATATTAGTATTATAATGGGTTATAATGAAAAAGACAAAAATACCTTTTTTTAGTATTGTGTAATATAAAAGTAATGACATTTGTATCATAGTGTAAGTTGAAAAAGTATTTATTATATTACTAAATTAGAAAATGGTAATTTTGTTTTGAGACGGACGAAAATAGAAAATGACAATATTTTTCAATAGGACGGAGGGAGTATGGTATTTTATGAAAAAAGATTATATAATTAATTCAATATAAAAAATATTAAAGATGATAATATTAATTCTTTTAATATATATATATATATAAATAGAATCTTAAAATTTTAAAGAATAATAAATATACTCTTTTTATAAAATAAAAATAAAGTTTTTTTTTTTCAATTTATTTTTCACATTATAATCTCAATACTATAATAAATATTTATTTTTTATTTATAAAATCTAATCAAATATCCAATGTGTGCGTGCGTGTGTTTTTAATTAATTAATTATTTTTTTGAATAATACTTTAGATGTAGGGTGTTTCTTTTTACAAGAAGTTTTCAAATTTTACTAATTAAACTTTATATTTTCTAAAAATATTATTATTTTTTTTTTTACAAAGTATCTCAATAATATTATTTTAAAAGCAAATTTAAACTAAAATTTTCTCCAACCAAACCCAAAAAACACACCTGTAATATTTTGTAGATATATATATATATAATATACTCTTATCATTTCAACTCAATATAAACATTTCAAAACTTAATATAACTTTGTCGAAGCCATAATTTAAAGTATGCAATAATAATAATCTAACATGTAAATGTAATAAGAAAATAAAATGAAAAAAAAATTCTAGAAAAAAAAAAAAAGAAGCATACATCACTTTCCACACCGTACATGTAACAAAGTGTCCAAACACTTGTCGGAAAATCAACAGAGACATAAACATACATCACCACTAATTGTACTAATCTTTTCCTCCTCACATATTGGCCGCACCCAATTTTATTTGTCGACAAATTTTAGATATTTAATTTTAAATTTATTACATTTATACTAACTCTTTGCCATATCATGAATGATATTTGCTTTTTACTTAATTGATTTTTTAATATTAATATTATATTAGTTTGTAGAAAAAAAGGACAAAAATATTTTTACTTGTATTGTGTAAAGTAAAAGTAATGACATTTGTATAATTCATTGTAAATTGTAAGAGTATTTATTATATTAGTTATGTAGTACAATTATATATATATATATAAAAAGTATCCTTATTCTAAGACTGATATAAATAGAAAATGTAACTATTTTTTTAGGGACGAAAGGAGCATTTAAATTTGATCATATTCATTAAATTAAATTGTTTATATTTGAGTAGACGGCGGGCTACAGTGCTGAATAGCACACGGTGTTACCATAAACAAAACACAGTATATTTTAATATAATACAAATACAAAACATAACTTAACAACACATGATATAGTCGCACCCAACACATACAATACTTGATTTCAGCATAAGACATTTCTATATTTTACGTGCGGTTTGATTTTCTAAATTTAACACCCTAACAGAGTACATAAATCAAATAATGCAAATTTGGAATTTTCATCAAATAATTTTATCACTATTTTCAATTTCAATCTCAATATCGAAAGACCCTTATATTGGATTTTCTTCCACCATTTATCCCAACAAATATTTAAAAAGAAAAAAAGAAAAAAGATTCCCAATCCAATGTCGACAAATACGTTGCCATATCGACATATTCCAAACATACACCAAATCGAACAAACAACGTACGTAAGTTGCCAAAGCGAACCCAACCCAACCCAACCGTTAGTCGATAGAGACACACGATTCAACCAAAAACAAAGTTCGATAATAGACACAAAATTAACAACAAAATTAAATTAAAGTACGCACAAAACATCTTCTTATTCATCGATAGAGAACCAAAACCCAGATCTTATGTCGTCAGAATCGGCGGGAGATAGTCCGATTTCATGCCGAGAATCCGCGCATTCGTGTCCGGGAAGAACTCCGCTCCCGGGAGTTCGGTGATCGTCCCGTCGCTGGCGACCCCGACAGGGTACCGGAGCAAGTGCCCAGGGAGGTCGTGCTCGAGTTCGTCGGCGGAGTAGAGGTCCCAGTACTTGTTGGCGATCTCGTTCACCTTCGCCGCGCATTCCTCGCTCGACGGCTCGAGGAACACGTTGTCGAGCATGCCGAGGTGCTCGTACCACAATGCCATTCGGAAACCGTGGATTTGGCCCCTCGCCGGCTGCCGATTCGCCAAATGGTACGGCTGATAAGCACCCATCGCAATCTCCGAATCCCTCGAACCGTCCATCGATCGTTGGTTGATGTTGGCGGACCCGATTATTATGTATTCATCGTCGACTGCAAAACAACGAGATATATATATATATATAAAACGTAACTAGGGATGAAAAAATATACTGAATTGTCGAAATAACGTGCATATCGTACTTAGAAAATATCAAAAGTTCGATATAACGTAAATTTCAATATGATCCCAAAAGAATTGTCTTATTTTTTTCATTTTTGTCCGTCTCAAAACAATTGTCTTATTTCCTTATTTAGTTACCGTGGTTCCCACTTTACAACAAAATTATTTGTACTTTTTCAATCTACCCTAATTATTATTATAATTTACTTTTTAAAATTCTCGTAAAACAAGGGTATTTTAGTCTTTTTATATTCTATTTTATATCTATTTTCAATTAAATATTATTATTCTTTCATTTCCGTGCCAATTCACACTAAACCACTTCTTTTGAGACGGAGGGAGTAAGTATTTTGCTATACAACAAAAATCCTATATACTATTTTGATATTTTGATATTCAATATATCGGTATATACCAAGAGTTTGGTATATTGATATAAAAATAATAATTTTAAATGATATATACCAATACCGTGCGGGAAATTCAGTATGCCGAATTATCGATATGGTATAAGCATATATATATCAAACCAAATTTTTTTGGTATGTCTTTTTAACATACCAAAAATTTCAGTATGGTTCGATATCTTCGGTATCACGTACCGAACGCTTCCCTATGAAAACATCGAATTCAATACGAATAATTTGAACTGTTACCGATCATCATCTTGGCATGAACGTAGATCATAAACCGACGGGCCTCCTGGGCTTTCAAGTAGTCGGAATCAGGCTCGGGTGTTTCGGCAGGCTCGTACTCTCCGCTCTTCTTTGCCTCCCGATTTCCGAGGCAGAAGAACGTCAAGTAGTTTCTTGGGTCCTCCTCGATTCCCTTAGCGTTAAGGGCCTGAATGATATCTTTGTACATCATCTCCATCGTTCGTCTCTGCCAGTCTAATATCGCCTGAACCGACGCGCTCTCCGGAATCCCTTCCGGCCACATAGGGACGACAATGTAGACGGTGAACCGTTCCCCGGCCTCGATCTTGCTCACGATCTTCAAAGAAAGTTCCTTCGGAATGAGATGTAGAGCCCCGATGTCCTCGACTTTAATGTCGTTGCAATCCCAGCTAAAACAGCCGCCGAGGAAATACTGATTCTCGATATAGATGAAATTCTTCGCGCGGCGGATAGCGTGGATATATGCATCCTGAATGCTCCGATCGATTATATTATCCTTCCCGCTGATAAGCCCGGCCCGGGCAGCCTCTTCCGGCGCCTCCGGGAACCCGAACGCAGCTCCGCCGTCGATAGATCGGAATAACTGAACATGCCATGTCTCGTTGTCGTCCGGGAACGTCGCCGGAGACGGGGGGATGATGATATCGGAAAGATCCCGTAAATTGAGAAGAACATCTTTCCCGCCTTGCTTCCTCCATCTCTGCTCGAAGTTAAACAATACATCCCAAGCGATGGGGCCTTCCAGCCGGGAGTGGATGTCGTGCCACGGCTCCCTCGGCCCGCCTTTCGTGATCGCAGCTCCGGTGAAATTCGGCTGATGGAAATCGTCGTGATGAGCAGTGTCCAAAGTCCGGAAAAGGGAATGGAAAGGGGTATCGTATCGCCCGTCACAAAGATCGATGCCTCCGACGAAGCTCACGATTCTCCTCCGATCGGAGTCTCCGTTCGGAAGCTCGCTGTCGACGACGATGATCTTCTGATGGTGAGTGAACATCGTCGAGATTTGCAAGTCTTGCACGAAGCTTCCGCCGTCGTCGGGATTACGCGGACACAACACGCAGTGCACGTCGGTATCTTGGAAATAGTTTCCTGTCTCCTCGTCGTGTGTCGCCATCAAACCGTCTTTCTTAAGAAGACCCACCGAAGTTCGATCGTCCCAAACGAGCATAAGAACCGTAACGCCTTCGCTCGCTTTCTTCTTAAGTAGCTCCCCGAGCATAATGTCGCCGCCCGGCTTCTGTCTCCGGGAGTCTCGTATCAAAGCAATTTCGGTATAAACGGACCAACCGGTGATATATATTAAGTGCTTCGCGTTCGTGATCGCATCGAAAACGTCTTCCCAACATCGATGGGGCTCGTAGTATTCTCCTCCGGATAGGGGAATCTTCGGAATAAAATTGTCCGGCACGTGAGCGTCCTGATAGAGCGAAACCCGACACCCCGTTCTCTGAGAAAAGAACGTGTAGGGGACCCCAGGGTACCGAGCACTTTTAATTCCACGAGCCCAATTACGATCTTGAGAGACGTCGAAAAACTGAAGCTTCACATGGATCTTGGACCCCACCTCGATCGGGTTCTTATTTTTATCAAGAATTTCGACCCACCTGTCGATTTCTTCCCCGTCCAGGAGTTCGGAAACGGGGACGTATGCTCTTCCTATCAATGTTGCGCCGATAGGATTGTCATCCTTAACAGTGAATATGACATCCGACGCCAAGTGCGCGCAGTAAATGTGGAAAGACTCGAACCATCTTGGATTTTCAGGTTCGTTGTCGAGTATTCTCGTCCTCCCAACTCTCGCTTTCCCCAAATCAACAGTCGCATACATTTTCGGAGTTCCTTTTCCGAGACCGACTTTCTCCTCAATGTTCTCCATAAACTGCAAGAATAAACTCCATGCATAAGATTTTGAACTAACTCGAAAACTTTCGCCAAAATATACAATGCTAGAGACAGAACACTAATTGTTTCGTCAATATAAGAACCGAGACTCGGTACACTTTCAAGATTCAAGAATAATAATATTAAGAATGAGCAACTTTCGAAATATGTGAGATTCTCGGACAAAGATGCCTTAAGATCATAACTATCAACATCCAAGATCGATCAAATTTAGAAAACAACTACATAAATTTCAATAATCATTATCACTAGGTATGAAAACAACATCTGATTATGATCAAGTGGCTTCAAAACACCATCATTCTTCGAACACGAAATAAGCACACATTAGAGATATATACATATACGTACACAAAAATCATCAGATCCAATAAGTTACCAACAAACTAAAGACAAAAACGATTCGCTCAAGCCTAATTCATGTCCACAAAAGCATTCTCTCAACACCCCAAATTGTGATCAAAATCTAGTGTCCCGGTTCAATGGATGCCACTCATTTGGATACCATCGATCGTGAAATGTATACCAAAGGCCCACAATCTCACTTAAGAGTGGTACCCCCTCCCCTGCCCCCAGTGAATATCCTCTTACAGCGCTCTCAAACTGATTCCACATTGTTTTCAGACATTAATTTTGGATAAACATTGAGAACCAACACTACCGAGAGGACCTACAGACGACGTAAACCAACAAAAATGAGAATCACAGACAGAGACTCACACCATGAAAGCAACACCACTGATCACTGATCTGTAATCAATTCTCAAACTAGATCTATCGGATTCATCAATGGCTACCATGAATTCAAAGTGCAAAGCAATCAAACTCAATTCAATTCAAGTCAAACCTAAAATCTAAGAGCAGAAACAGATCCATCAATTCGAAGTAGAGCCCACACTTCAGATAGCAACATCACTGATCTGTAATCAATTCTCAAATTGGATCGATCAGATTCATCAATGGCTACCATGGATTCAAAGTGCAAATCCATCAAACTCAATTCAATTCAAGTCAAACCTAAAATCTAAGAGCAGAAACAAATCCATCAATTCGAAGTAGAGCCCACACTCCATCCACAGATATAATCCAACTCAATTTTCCCCAACAAACCACAAAGAAACGATCAGACAAAAAAATAGATAAAATTCAGATCCGTCAATCCCCAACCTTGCCGAAGATGTTCCCGCTCCGACCGACTTCCAATCTGTCCACTTCATAGATCGTCACGTGAAGAGTGCCGTGGAGCAAGATCTGCGCCATCGAATTCCACCTGCGGAAAAAAAAAAAAAAAAATCAATCAAATGCTTCAAAACCCTAACTCAAAATTTTACTTCGATGATCCTTCCCTACCCCAAAACGCTAGAAATTTAAAGAGATCAGAGAGTTCTTACAGAGTTGTGCAACAACAAAAATTCCTTCAAAAATCAAACCGCGATTCGATCTCAGCTGCTCTGAATCTGAAACACAGAAATTTGGACAAGGGAACGCCGAAATCGGGGGATTTGTACAAGTGGAGTGATCGAGTCAATACGCGGTGGACTGAGTAACTATCCACGGATATATTTATTTATTATTAATAATTATTTTTACATCATTGTGGGATGAACCTCAACGCCACTTCCCTTAAAAACCAAATGGTAAAAAGATAAGGACACTTTTAGATAAAACTCTTATCGATCCTGTAATAAAAAAATCTATTTGGATCGGATAAAAAAAAATATTTTTTATTAAAAAATAAGAAAACAAAAAAAAAAATCGATAATAATTTTAAAATTTTATTTAATACTCCATCGGTCTCAAAAAAAAAAAAAAAGTCTTATGAGCACGATAATTAAAAAATAATACTCCCTCCGTCCCATTGGAAATGGTTTATTTTTTGTACGTAGATGTTTGAATATTAGTATTATATTGGATTGTAGTAAAAAAGATAAAAATATCCCTATTAGTATGGTGTAATATAAAAGTAATGACATTTGTGTAATATATTATAAGTTGAAAGAATATTTATTACGTTAAGTAGGTAGTACAATTACTAAATTAGGAAATGGTACCCTTGTTTTGGGATGGACGAAAATTGAAAATTGTAGCATTTCAATGGGACGGAGGGAGTAATATTTAATTGAAAATGAATATAGAGTAGAAGGTAAAAAGACTAAAATACTTTTGTTTTTTAAATGATTTTAGAAAGGTAAATTAGAGTGATAATGGATAGTTTGAAAAAATATGAATAATTTTGTTATAAAATGAGAACCACAGAAAACAACATAATTGTTTTGTAACATGCGAAAATAAAAAAAAATAAGACAAACTCTATTGGAACGGAAAGAATATTTAATAAGGATGAAAATATAAAAATAATAAAGATAATAATAATAGAGTACTATTTTCTTCCGTCTCGTATACAGAACTAATATTTGGATTTTGCAAGTAGATTTTGAATATTAGTATTATATTGAGTAATAAAAAAAAAAAAAAAATACATTTATTATTGATATTGTGTAATATAAAAATAACTATATTTTTGTAATTTATTGTAAATTTGAATGATATTTTTTTTTTTGGAACAAACGAAAATAGAAAATAAAATCTTTTTATGAGATTGAGGAAATAAAATATTACCAGTGATAAATAAGTATAGCTAAAGTTTTAATTTTGTAATAAATTATAGTGATTAATAAAGAAAAAAAAGTAGAAAATAAATTTGATAGACTAAACAATCTTGGGCGTGTTTTGAATTTTACATTTCTCATTTCATAAAATATTTTATTAAATACTTCCCGTCCTATAACTATAGTATTGGTTGTGTTAGTTGCATGATTTAATGAATATTGGTATTATATTAATAGTTGATAAAAAAAAAATATAGATAAATTTTTTTTTTTCCCTTGTGAGTGTATTAATGTAAAAAGTAGTGACAATTGTGTAATAATAATGAAAGAGTAATTGTAATTTTATAGTGATACAGTTATTTATAAAAATAAGACTATTATTTTAAGACGGACAAAAATAGTAAATAAAACTATTGTATCAGGAGCGACGAAGTATTATTTTAGGTAAGCATGTTTTTTTACTATTATTAGAGAAATTGTTTTTTCATGATTTGGTAGGATCTTCTTTACTTATTTTATTTCTAATTCTAATATCTAAAGAATATATATTTTCCTTTAATGATTCACAAACTAAAGGAAGTGGTTGGAGAGTAGAGGTTGGGATCATTTATACACAAAAAGAGTGTTTAAATTTTTTGGACACAAATATTACAAGAAATAATATTTTAATAACTTATGTCTATTTTTTTATATAGGTAAAATTGGACTTTTATTGAATTGGTAATGTATTTTATTAAATTTTTATTTTTTTAATATAGAAATTTGAACCTGAAACGTTGAAAATTTAAATTTATGATACGATTTTGTCCTCCAAACTATTAGGTCATTATTTATTACAATGTAAATTTTGAATAAAATAGACCCAATATAAAAAATATGTAAGGTATATTAGTAGTAACATACATGAATAAAAAATAGTAAATAATTTTTTTTTAAAATATATACGCTCTCCATCAGGTTGGAAGGGTGAAGTTTGTTTTTTTGCACGTAGATTTTTTAATATTAGTATTATATTTGATTGTAGTAAAAAAAAAAAGACAAGAATACCCCTATTAGTATCATGTAATATAAAAGTAATGACATTTATGTAATATATTGTAAGTTGAAAGGATATTTATTATGTTAAGTAGGTAGTACAATTACTAAATTAGGAAATGGTAACATTGTTTTGGGGCAGACGAAAATGAAAAATGGTAACATTTAAATGGGATAGAGCGAGTATTACTTCCTCGTTCGTCCCAAAAGTATAGTCTTATTGTGTTTGACACAAGATTTAAAGAATATTGATATTACATTGGTAGTTGGTAAAAAGTAAAGATAAATAAATTTTTTGCCCATGTGAGTATATTAGTGTAAAAAGTAATGACAATTGTGAAATAATAATGAAAAAGTAGGGATAGTTTTATGGTGATATGGTTATTTATGGAAATGAGACTATTGTTTTGGGACTGACAAAAATGATAAATAAGACTATTGTATTGAAACGAAAGGAGTATTATTTTTTATTAAATATGCTACGACTACAATGCCGCGTTCTTCAATTTAATTAATTCTTTTACATCTTTTTTTTTTTACTAAATATATATATTTTTAACAAAATATAATAATGTTTAAAATAAAAAATACTCCTTCCGTACCGGAATAGGTGTCTTATTGGAAGTTAACACGAGAATTAAAAAATAATAATATTTAATTGAAAGTGAGTATAAAGTAGAATGTAAAAGACTAAAATATCCTTATTTTTTGAAAGATTTTAAAAAATATGTTAGAGTAATAATTAAAGATAGTTTGAAAAAATAGAAATAATTTTGTTATAAATTCAAGACTACGATTACTAAATAGAAAAACAAAGACAATTATTTTGGAATTGACCAAAAAAACAAAACTCTTTTAGGACGAACGAAATATATATATATATATATATATATATATAAGACATGCCCAATCCTATACTACAAATACCCCTATTGGGCTTTGCTAGGCGGGTCATGAAATTAATTATCACCGTAACTTATCTACATTCATTTTTTGGGCTCAATGTAAAAAATCAATTTCTACTAAACAAACAGGTATTTGTATTTCAAGTTTTGTGTGATAAGTTAAAGGGTAAATGGTACAAAATTTATACGTGGTTTCACGAAGTTACGACCAAATCTTTCGTACTTTTAAAATTGTGTCAAGTTTTCTCGTAGTTTCATAAACTCTGCGTCTAACCCTTTCGGCGGTCTTTATTTAACGGTATTTGACTTAAATACGCTCAAACTGCGAATAAATTTTAGAATCTCAATTTCTAAATCCTTAAAATTACAAATATATTTATTTTTCTTATATTTAACCTAAAAAAATAGTAAAAATAAACTCTTAAAATTTGAGAAAAAATAACTATTTTTGAGGTTGAATATAAGAAAAACGAATATATTTGTAATTTTAAGAATTTAGAAATTGAGATTCTAAAATTTATTCTCACTTTGGTCGAATTTATGTCAAATACTGTTAAATAAGGACCGCCGAGGGATTAGACGGAAGAGTTCATAAAACCACAAGAAAGTTTGACACAGTTTTAGAAGTACAGGGAACTTGGTGCAATTTTATGAAACCACCTATAAATTTTGTGCAATTTAGCCTAAGTTAAATCGAAAAGAAGACACTATGTTTTGAATTCATGGTCTCATTATCACAAAATTTACTTAATATTAAAAATATATTATTTTATTTTACAAATATATTATTTTAAATTCAAATTAATATTATATATTCTGTATAATTTTTAATAAAAATATATTATTTTATTTTACAAATATCACATAAAAATACTTTTTGGATAATAACTCAAATCAATTTCAAACCATAACAAATAAATTATTTCTGTACCTAAGAGTATAATTAAACATTATTGAATTATATTTACATGGTAGGTAGGCCAAAAATACTTGATTTGTAATATGAAATTATGCATTTATTATTTCATAATACCAAAACAAAATATTTTTAGTCGTCAAACTTTTGTAAATTAAGTGGCGAAACATATTTGATTTATTTAAACAAAAATTTAAATTAATTTCAAATTATAATCCAACAAATTTTGTGAATAATGGAAAGTCACAAACAATTTAGAATATCCCAAATTTAAAATAATAGCAAAATATTTGAGATTGATCGATACATATAATAGTTAACTAAAAAAATTATTTCAAATTATATTTCTTTAGTTCAACTTAAAATGTTTTCTAAATACACTAATACTAAAATATTCTTTAATTTTTATATAAATTACAAAAATATAATAACAATTAAGTTATATACAAAATACAAAAATATAAAATCATCTTACACACTTCTATTAATCAATAAAATATTACTCCATCCGTCTCACATAATTTGTCTTAATTTTCTATTTTCGTCTATCCATATAACTTGTCATTTCTATTTTTGGAAATATAATTATGCACTTTAATCACATTTTAAATTTTATAATTTTATCAATTTTAATTAAACTATTTATTTATCTTAGTCTTAATATATAATTATTTTTACTAATACATTTTTTAATTACCTACTAATTATACTTTACCAAAATTTTCGTATCTACGGTAATAAGCTCAAAATATCTTGGACGAAAGATTATTATTTTTTAATTTACTATAAAAATTTAAAACAAATATTTTGCACAGGGAGTATGAAAAAATAATAATTGACATTTAAATGGGTTGTCCTTTTTTTCTTGCACATGCTTCATTAAATACCAAATTACTTTTAATGGTCCAAAACCTATTTTTGGGCACGTTAATGAATTAATGCATCCATACAGCTGGACCTTTACGTGCCTATATTAATTAATCGAATTTATTTTATTTAATTAGTTGTTACCTAAATGTTAATTTCATCCACAAAAATTAGTTATTTTGTACAACTTAGATTTATTTAAATTGCTTAGGTACAATTCATTTTAATGTTCTTAATTAAATCTTTCTTTCAATTAATAAATTTCATTAAATACAATAAATTAATTATATGACCCATTGTCACGTGACATATCGTCATACGTTATAAATTGAAAAGACAATTAGAACGAAATTCAAAATAATTATTTTTATCCAATTAATTCGTCTATATACGCAAATTGTATCTTTCTTTTTTCGGTTATATGTATTTTAATATAAATGGATATACTAATTAATGTATCAATTTTATTATTTCGAAATAGTTATAATTAATGTATCTATTTCACAAATATGATTTTCATATATTAATAAAATTTTGCATTTTAATTAAAATTATAATAATACAATTATTTATCAATGGCACGTGCCATAACATTTTAGTCCGTACATTCCCATGTATTGTTACAAATTTCATTATATTTGTAAACAAGTAGAGTTTTGAAAAAAAAAAAAAAAAAGCAAAAAACCTAGTATTTAATGTGATTTTTTTTTTCTAAAAAAATATAATAAAAAAATATCAATTTTGTATATATATGTTCATTTTGTATTTTTTATTTTGTATTTTTTATATTTGATTTTGCTCCCTCCGTCCAAGCAATAAGTATGTATTTATTTTTGTGAGAAATAATAATATTTTAATTGTAGTTGATATATAAAAGTAGTGTAATGATATTTTTGCTCTTATTTTTTTTTGTATAAAAGTAATGATGTGATGTAAAGTAAGGGTATTTGTGGAAAAAAGTGGGGTATTTAATGAAATGGTTACTTTGTAATTGGACGTCCCAAAATAAAAAATATGTATACTTTGTAGCTAGACGGATAGAGTATTTTTAAAAAAGTAATTTTACTTTATAAATAATAGTCTAATTTGATATTTTCTGTAAAATATGTATGGGTGTGTTTGTTTGTGGGTTTGAAGTTTTGAGTTTGGATAATTCAACAGTAAAATATGAAATTTGAATAGTTAATTGATATGATATAAATAGATATTCATGTGATGTTTTGAATGTAAAATAAATCTTTGTATAATATAAAAAAGAAAAAGTAAATGTTTAATTTGATATTTTTTAGAAAAAAAAGAATTTGAATAATAAAAAACTGTGGTAAAACTCAAAAAAAAAAAAAAAAAAAAACTAACTATATTAAAAATTCAAGAATAAAATAAAAAATTACAGATGCATCATTTGAGATGCTTGAATAAATTTTATATTTTATATATTTCTTCCGGTTTCACTTATCGTGTTTATTTTTTCATTTTCGTTTGTCTTAGTTATTCTGTCATTTTTATTTTTGAAAAAAAATTATACAATTTAATCTCATTTTAAAAATTTTAATTTATAATTTTCTAATTTTAATTAAATTTATTAGTTATCTTAATTTTAATTTTAAATTATTTTTATTATGTAATAATTATTTTTATTAATATATTTTTAATTATTTATTAATTATACTACCCCTTAAATTTTGATATTTACAAAAAAATACAATAGTCGGGCCAGAAAGGATATTTTATTAAAATTAATATTTAAAAAATATATATATATAATATTTATTTTAGTGAGGTGGGCCCCAATGTACGGACACAGGACCACATTGGCGGCCCGAAATATCGCCGACAGCAAACCCCTTCTATTCTCTACACCCCTTTATGCTTTCCACTTCCAAAATCAATATATGTACTTGTAGAAATTTACTAGTACTATTACATAAGGATAAATTAATTAAATACAATGAGAATATTTTTTTAATAGTAAAAAATTTAAATTGCGTGAAATATATCACTAAAAAAAAAAAAATAATAAATTGATTTTGAATAGACTAAAATAAAGAAAAAAAATTAATTTCGAATAGAAGGAACATATGTATATATTTGCATTAACACATAAGTATTTGCTATTCATTACATGGCTGTAATTAAATTAAGTATTCGATGAAGTATTAATATGTGTTGCGATGAAATCAATTGTTACATAAATTATTACTACATTCATCTGACTCTAAATGTCTCATTTACGTTTTACGTATTGATATTTGAATATTAATTATTATATGAAAATATAGTACAAATTAAGGGAAAATGATAAAAATACTCTTATTATTGTCTTATAATACTATTATAATGACATTGTGCAAAATATTATATAAATATAAGAAGATTTTTAATATTAAGCATAATTACGCAAAAAATAAATGAGACCTTTAGAGTCGGATGGAAGGAATATTACTTTTTGCAATACATAAGATATAAATCTAATACCGCGAAAATTATATTAATATATAATACAAATAAAATATACTTCATTTGTCCCATTCGAAAGAGGCCTCTGGGATTTTGTAATAAATTAAAAAAATAATAGTATTTTATTGGTTAGTAGAAATGGATAAGAGGTTGAGACATATTGCCCGACTTTATTTTTAAAGTAATTGTATGCGTAATTATATAGTTGTAATTTCGTATTAGTGTATGATTACTTTTTTTTAAAATAAAAAAAATATTTACTTAAATGATATAGACAAAAATAATAAAATTGATACTTTATATTGAGATAAGGAAAATATTATTTAATATTGCATGATAATAATTAGTAAAATACGTACGTTTTACCATTGATCTCAGAAAACGTACTATAAAATGTACATTACCCATATAATTGCAAATAGCTGAGTTTGTGTTGTGTTAATTGAAACAAAATTATTAAAAATTTTGGAAAAAAATAATAAGATTGTTTCATTAATTATCAAAATAAAGAATCTATACACGGACATTACAAAACATATTCAAATCTATGTAATAAACCAAATCTAAATATAAATTTACTAAATTTAAGACGAAATATATAAATAATTTCAACAACTATATTATCCGTCTATTTTTTTATTTGATGCTCCAATATATTATATATATATATATATTATATAAATAATTGAATCTCTGTGACTGTGACGCTATTCTTCGAATTTGAGACAACAACAAACCTTAACCTTAGGACCTTAAGTGCAGCTCCAATGGTGGTCCGTAAGAAGTTCAGAGGCGTCCGACAACGCCATTGGGGCTCCTGGGTCTCTGAAATTCGTCATCCTCTTCTGTAATAATCTTCTTCTACTACTACCATTTAATTTAATTTATGTATTTCAATTTTTAATTTTGAATTTGGCAGGAAGAGGAGGGTTTGGCTGGGGACGTTCGACACGGCGGAGGCGGCGGCGCGTGCCTACGACGAGGCGGCGCTGCTCATGAGCGGAAGAAACGCCAAGACCAATTTCCCGATTCCGGCGAATCCGGACATCTCCGACGGCGGAGGCGGCGGGGATGGTTGCTCTCCGGCGGCGGCGGCGCCGGATTCGCTTTCGGCGGTGCTCAGCGCGAAGCTCCGGAAATGCGGCAAACCGCCGTCGCCGTCGCTGACGTGTCTGAGATTGGACACGGAGAATTCGCACATTGGGGTGTGGCAGAAGCGGGCCGGGTCAAGATCCGACTCGAATTGGGTCATGACTGTGGAGTTGGAGAAGCGGAAGAACGGCGGGCATCGGAGTATTCCGACGGCGGGGAATAATCCGCCGCAAACGGCGGCGCGGGAAGGCGCCGCCGCCGTGGGGGGCGGGATGGAGGAGGAGGAAAGGGTTGCGTTGCAGATGATCGAAGAACTCCTCAACAGAAATTAATCTTAAGAAAATAAAATAATAATAATATTTTTAAATATTATGCATAATTCTGATGATGATTATTTGTTTAATTTGAGAATTTGTATTTAGTTCCTAGATTTAATTATCCTTGAGTGTCTAATGTTTATAATTTTTTATTGCTGAAATTAGTACACAAAACCGTACGCGTACTGTGTACATGTATTGTATGTATGTATGTATCTATGTATATTGTACGAGGTATAATGTACCTGTAGATACGATGATTTGATGTCCAAAACGCACCCCTACCCTACCCTACCCTACACCATTAGTTAATTAAAATGCGGTAGGAAATTATTGGAATATGTAAGGTGTGTTTGGTTCCTGATCGCATGATCCATATGGGTTTATTTATTTAATTAATGCAATGTTTAGAAAAAAAAAAAAAAAGTTCCCAAATTTATTCTTATTATTATTATTATTATTTAATTTGTCTACTACTAAATTTATTTTATTATTAATTTTGACCAAATCAATAAATCGGCATTTATATGTTTGGCTTGAGATCCTTTGTTGAAACTTTTACTTCAACATATATCCTAAACACTTCAAATTTAATTTCTATAATTACTTTAATTATATTTTCATTGACTTTAATTTATAATTAAAATTTTAAAAATATTTTCAAATATCTTATTATTTTTATAATTTTTTTAATAAATTATTATTATTATTATTATTTTTAATATCAATATTAGACCAAAGTGGACAAATTTTAATTAGGAGGGGGAGTAATATATTTTTAGAAAATTGAATAGTGATAATGTTAATTTCAAATAAAAATCAATAATTATTACTCAATTTGTTTCAACTTAAAGTACTATTTTTATTATTTTTCTCTATCTCACTTTAAAGTATTCATTTTTGTTAGTAAAAATAATCATATACCAATAACAAAATATTTTTAACTTTTACTTCATTTACAAATATACCATTACATATACAATTATTTTTTTACATAAAGTCAAATGAAAAAATGTCAAAACTTTTTGTACATTTTCACTTACTAATAAAATGTTATTATTTTTTAATCAATTTGATTCAACTTAAAGTACTATTTTTACTATTTTTCTCTGTCTCACTTTAAAATATTCATTTTTGTTAGTAAAAATAATTATACATCAATATCAAAATATTTTTAACTTTTACTTTATTTACAAATATACTACATATATAATTATTTTTTACATAAAATCAAATAAAAAAAAAAATGTCAAAACTTTTTGTACATTTCACTAAGTAATAAAATATTATTATTTTTTAATTTATTATAAATCTACAAATGACCATTTGAACTTAAACGGAGGAAATATTTTTAAATAATGTGAAGAACAAAAATCAATAATAATAATAATAATAATAATAATAATAATAATAATTGTATTAATAATATCAACATTTAGAGAGGTAGCTAGCTAGCTAGCTAGGAGCGTCGCCGGTGGGGGTCGACCCCTCTCTCTTCCCTCTGCTTTAATGTCCGAATTTTCCAAATCTCTCGCCAATCCAAAATTTCATCCGATCAAGCCACGATTCTGTCGGATCTCCACTCTTCTCTTGTTAAGGTTGTCCGAATCATGACGAGATTGCGTTTTCTTCTTCTAATTTCAGCGCTCATATGCCCTTCCGGCGAATCCAGATCCATTCTAACACGCGCGCGCGCCGACGAATCTGCTAAGGTTAGGTTTGATTATTTGTGTGTAGGAATTTGAGGAACTTCGCTGCTGATGCTGTTGAATCTGTTCCGACAGGACCATCAATTCTGTTGTTTTCGGACATCTATCTATCTAGCTAGGGATTTAAAATTGATTTTGCGGTTTTGATTTGATTCCAGATCGGAAACCGTTGTTCGTTTACGGTGATTGTAAGAACGAGCTGCTCTTCTCCTCGATCCACAAGCGACAGAATCAGCCTCTCGTTCGGCGATGCCTATGGCAACCAGGTTCGATTTTCGTTTGTTCATAATGTCCGTATTTTCTACGATAGAAATGGCGTCTGGATTGTGTTTGTTTGTTTGTTTGAGTTTTGCGGATATATTATGTGTAGAAGTGCTTTTGAGACTGTCATCTCTCTCTAACCAAACACACTTTAAAGCGAAAACTGATGATTTGGATGAAAAAGTGGTATATTATGTTGTTCGGTAATATAAAAATAGAGATTCTATATAATATATTAATTTTTTTCAAAAATATATTACTTCCTTCGTTCTTGTGCAAAATTACCGTTTACGTTTTGCACGTAGATTTTTAAATATTAATATTATAATAAATTATAGTGAAAAAAACAAAAATAAAAAATAACAACGACAAAAGAAAAATAAAATTTTTGTTAAAAGAACAAAGTCTATATTTGTACTTCTCCAGTAAAAAATCATATTTTAATATTATTAAATAAAAGGTAGAATATTAAAAAAAATTATTATAAATTTCATAAAAAATAGTAATAAATATATAAAATTTATTTATTATAAATAAATTGTACATAAATTTAGTGAATAAATACAAAAAAAAAAAAAGTGATAATTTTGACATAATTTTAGCAGAAGAGAAAATATTATTTACTAAAATTGATATATTTGAGACATATTATTAAATAAAGTAAAATGAATATTTTCTCTTGGATAGAAGGACTAGTAGTTATTTCATAATGGAAATAAGTATTGAATGTATACTTTTGTATAAAAAAAGTAAATTTAGATATATTTTGGAAGCTTTGTTTTGGATTTAAAGAATAGTGAAAATTGAATAATAAATATAAATACGATTTTAGATGTAATATTTTTAATATAAAATAATTTTTTAATCTAATATTCTAAATAAATAATCGGTTTTGAATGTAGTGTTTTTAATGTAACAATTTAAATGGAAAATAAGTTATAAATTTGTTATTTAAAAACATATATATCTTGTAGGTTTTTGACATAATATTTTAAATAATAAATTGAAATATAAAGAGTATTATATATTTTTTTTAGGTTTATGTTCCGCGGCTTGATAATCCTCGAGCCCACGCATTCGAGCGATGCTCGACCGATACGTTTCAAATTTACGGGCCGTGCACAAATCAAATATGTTATTTGTACCCTTATAGAGCTGGAAACGACGGGTGGATGCCTTCCGACGTAACGGTGTATGGGCACGACTCGAAGGCGGTCACGTTCTACTACAACGTCAAAATGCCGAGAGATAAATGGTACGGATTCAACAACTGCGGTCGCCGCGCGACATTGGCAACCGAGTAAGCGTTGTTTTGTTGCTCAGGGTGAGTCTTGAGTTGAATCTTGTGATGATGTAGTACTTATTGTTGATATTTCTTCGGCAAAATTACTTATAACTCCCTTGTGGTTTCGAAATTCGGCATAAATTTTTCCTTTACTTTAAAAATTGCATGACGTCTCTTGATACTTTAAAAAATGTTGCTTGAAATCTCACCGTGGTTTTAAAACTCAGCGTAAATTCCCACTTTACTTTAAAAAATTGTATGACGCTCTCTTATACTTTAAAAAATATTGCCCTGCCATGCAAAACATACAAATAGGAAATTATATTCTAATCATACAATAGAGTTTTCATGGTGGTGGAATTTTATATAACGTTTTTTAAAATACGAGGAGATGTCATGCAATTTTTAAAGTATAGAGAGATTTTACGCTGAAGTTATGAACAATTTTACCTATTTCCTCGCATTCGATTACTTGTCGTGTCATCTCGACTATTTTGGATTTACAAGTTTTGAATGTCCGGATACCTAAAGATCGAACATTTCATCTATTTTGATTACATGTTGCGTTCCTTCGTTACAACAGCGATAGGGATTTAGGAGAGACTTCCCATCGCTTGCGCTTTCTCGCGGAGGATGAATTTTTGAATCTTCCCGGTCGACGTTTTCGGAAGTTCTTGGAAAACGACGGTCTTTGGAGCCATATAATGAGGCAAATGATCTCGGCAGAAGTCGATAAGTTCTCGGGAAGTAACCTCGACGCCGTCCTTCAGCTTGACGAACGCACACGGAGTTTGCCCCCAATGGTCGTCGGGTCTCGCAACGACGGCAGCTTCGAGCACGGCGGGATGACGGTACAACACCGTCTCGACTTCGACGGTGCTGATGTTCTCCCCTCCAGAAATCACAATATCTTTCAATCGGTCCTTAATTTCAATGTATCCGTCGGGGTGTTTCACGGCGAGATCGCCGCTTCTGAACCACCCGCCGGCGAACACCGCCTCGGTGGCTTTCATGTCTTTCAGGTATCCGCTCATTACGGTGTTTCCTCGAAACATGATCTCGCCAACGGTCTCACCGTCCGCCGGTACGCTCTCCATGGTGACGGAGTCTCTCACGTCGACTTTCTCGAGCGCGAAATGCTCGACGCCTTGTCGAGCTTTGAGACGGTACCGTTCTTCGCGCGGAAGCAAATCCCACTCGGGTTTCCACACACAATACGTTCCAGGACCGTACGTTTCGGTGAGTCCGTACAAGTGGCTCACCCGGAAGCCAAGCTTCTCGATTCTTTCGAGGATCGACGGCGGTGGCGGTGAGCCACCTGTCATTATATCGACCGTATGAGGAAGGGGTGTTTTCTCGTCGTTTCCGGAGTTGATGATCTTGTTCAAGACAGTCGGAGCTCCGCCCATGTGACTAACCTTATGGCGCAAAATGGCGTCGAAGATGTTCTTCGGGGAAACGGTTCGGAGGCAAATGTTCGTCCCGCCGATCGCCGCCAAGCCCCAAATCAAACACCACCCGTTGCAATGGAACATCGGGACCGTCCACAAATAGACCGGCGTCGACGGCATTCCATGGAGGAATGTCGTCGCAAGCGCGTTCAAATACGCCCCGCGATGATTGTAGACGACGCCTTTGGGACGGGACGTCGTTCCCGAAGTGTAGTTGACGCTTATCGGGTCCCATTCCGTTCTCGGTCGCCTTACAGCGAACCCACCGTCTCCCCGACTCAACAAATCCTCGTACTCGTATTCATGTTCATGTTCGGCCAGATCGTCGTGCTCCTGAATCAGGACGAGAATCGGGAGCTCCGTATTGTTCTTAATAAGCAAGTCGAACGCTCCCCATGCGACGGGGAGCAGTTCGTGGTCGACGAATATGAGCTTCGCCTCGGAATGTTGCAACAATGCCGCGATCATGATCGAATCGTGCCGCGAATTCAACGTGCACAGCACTGCCCCGGCCATCGGCGCCGCGAAATGCAGCTCCACCATCGCCGCCGTGTTGGGGCCAAATGTCGCAACCTGTATTAGAAACTCCGATCAAATAAAGAAATATAGATTTTTTATTTTTTTTCCGTGAAAATTTGGAAGTTCTTGTATTATTTAAATAATTTTTTTTTTTTTAAAAAAAAATCAAACTAATCAATTATTTTTTATATTATACCTAAAAATTAATTTTATATTCAAAATTTTATATAACTATTTATACAATATCAAATAACTATTCAAATTTAAAATATTATTATTAAAAATACAAAATTCAAAGTGAACTGCAACTTTTAGATTCAAGTTTTGAAAAGTTAAAATAAATAATTTATAAATAATTATGGTTCCAATATTTAAAATATAAAGTTAATTCTTCATGCTTTTGGTCTCAAAAAATTATTGCATTTTATTATTTCTCTTCCTCCCAAATTAATGTGCCATCGTATCATCGTCAAATTACATCTTATCATTATTATTATTATATAAATACAGTTACTTTTTATACTTAAATTAAAACATTTTTATAAAGGCAAACTAGCTTTAATCAATAATTTATACATATTATCAATTAAAAAAAATAAAAAAATATGTTAAAAAAAAAAAAGAAAAAACTAAACTGAAATTCAAGATAGGCAAATGATCGAACACCTTGGGGGCACAAATACGTACCAAATCGCCTCTACAAATCCCCAATTGTGACAAAGCAGAAGCCAATTTGAGGCACCTCTTGAGAGTCTCTTCCCAAGTGAAGGTCCGGCCGCCGTCCACGACGGAGGTCCGGTCGCCGTAAACTCTGGCAGCTCTCTCGAGGAAACTGATGGGCGTCAATGGGGCGTAATTCGCAGGGGATCTCATCAGACCCTCCATTGAATTCCAGGAAGCTTCTAGATTCTCCGGTGACAAGTCGCACAGTGGCCGCCGGAAGGAGTTTGATTTCGGTGGTACGACGGCGTTGAAGAGCCACCGCCGGATTCCGGTCCGCCGGAGAAGATGAGACATGATCGGGCGTTGTAATTTGGGTAGAAATCGAAGATCTTGAATGGGAATTATGGAAGATTGGGAAGTTGTGAGGGAGGAACCGGTTAAGATGTCGATAGAGTTAGAGATGCGATACATGTCTGAAAATTCCTTTTTTTTTTATTTATTTATTTTGTTTTTATTTTTATTTTCTTAAAATAAAATAATTTTGTATAATAAAATAAGGTATGATCCGATAGGATCAGTGCATACTACGACCATGGATTATATATATGTGGCGCTCAAGCACAAGTATATAAAAAAGTAGATTGTTAAATTTAAAATTCAACATTGTATTTATCAACACATAGTGTGTTATTAAATAGTATATAATATAATAATAAAAAAAAAACATTGTATATGTTAATACTGTATCTGCATCCGTCCTAAAATAATAGGACATTTGAGATGAACACAATAATTAAAAAATAATAATATTATATTGATAGTGAATATAAAAGTGTTTTTAAAAGACTAAAATATTCCTACTTTATGTAATTATTGTGAAAAAAATTGGGATATGCTTGTAAAAAGGTGGGGAATTTGTTACCAAAAATAGAAATAAAACTATTATTTTAGAAATGACGAAAATAACAAAATGAGACTATTGTTTTGGGACGAATGAAGTATAATATATATATACAACATGAACAACAAAATACATGCTATAGTCTCAACAACGTAACATATATTGTCTGACAATACACAATATTACTACAGATAATACATTGTATATGTTAATATAATACAAATACTACAACATATGACCTAACAACACATGTTATAGTTTCATCCGACACACAACAGTTGATTTTAACACATGACATACATGTATACAACAACAACACACTTGTTATTTTTTTAAAAAACGCATATTTTTATTATATCCAACATGTGATGTATATAATATTAGTGTATGTTTGTTTGTATATATAACATATACTGATATGAAAAATCGGCGTGGTGGTGATTTTTTCAAATTAGCAACGTAACCATCCCCATAAAATAAATAACATAAAACAATATTTTTTTTCGTCCTGTGATAGATTTTTTTTGTTTGTCGATGACTATTTTCTATTTTTAGTAAATTTATTCATTTTAAGTATATTTAACAAATATAAATCAATTTAGTTAAATTTCTAACATCTTATACGTGGTCTAACTTAAAACTCCTTTATTCTATCTCTCTTATCAATAAATAAATATTTTTATCTATATTTCAAATTCCTTATTTTTTATAAAATTAGTTTTAAATTAATTATAAATAAATAAATAAATATTTTTTTGTATTATATAGAATTTTATTCTCTACAAATTAATATTCATATTGTATATATTTGTATTGAAATATAATGCTAAAAATATTTAAAATACCAATAATATTATTCATATAAAGAACAATAATACAAACACTACTCATATTTTTAAAAATATTTATTTATTTATAATAACTTAAATTAGCTTTATAAAAACATGAGCAGTTTTAAAGTGAAATAAAATATTTGTTTATTGATAAAAAAAATAAAGAGATTTTGAATGAATCATGCACATATACTTAAAATATTGAAAATTTAATTAAATAAATCTATATTTATTAAATATATTTAAAATAAATACATTTACGAAGAAGGCGGGACGGAGGAATCGATTTGCTGCGGTCGAAACTAAAGTCATTGTGGATGGAATTTTTTGAGTGAATGAGAGAGGCTGTGATATGTCTTACTTTTATGTCATTCTTTGCATGGATACATGAGTTTATAATTACATATTTACAGTAATATACAAAATTTTTAAATAAATTTAGTCATTCTTTGATAATTTTTTATAATATTATAAATTTATTGAACAAAACTCTATCATAGAATGACGTAATTTGTTGACTATTAAGTTTGATTGAAGTTTATTCATAGTACATTCGAAAAATAGCGATTACGGATTCTCGTTTCTCACATCATCAAAATATATTAATATATATTCCAGGTTGGGACGGTTATATGTTTGATTGAGTCTAATTAGCATCACGTTGATTAGCCCCAATCATAGTCTATTATAATGACAACACTTTATTGTTGTTGAAATACATTAAGGGGGGGGGGGTGTTTGTTCGAATAATTTGTTAGAATTTCCACTATTCATTAAAAAATTTTCCAAAAAATATCAAATCAAACACTTATTTTTTATTTTCTATATTATATTAAAAATTAATTTTACATTCAAAACATCACATAAACACCTGTTTATCCCACATCATACAACTATTTCTATTAACTAACATAAATAAAAAATCGAAAAGATCACACCAATGTGTTAGTAAATTTAATTAAGCTGACATTATCAACTTTTATGTATGATTGAAGGTTAGTTTGTATTTATTAATTAAAAGAGATGATTAATTCCAACTCAAGATTGTGAATACTTTTTCAAATTGGAATTTCTCAGTTTGAGCTCAAATTTTAATTTGTAAATACCAAAATTTCATCGAAATTAAACATTGCATTGAATTAGAGTTCCAAGAATATTAATTATTTGTCTAAAATTAACACACAATTATTTATGGCTTCGAAAAGGACAAACCTTACCAAAATTATTAGGTGTATTTACTTGTAAAATTTTACATCCCCGATTTTACTATTCCAACTTTCTTTTTCTTTCAAAAATATTAAATCAAACACCAAATTTTTATTTATTTTATTAAATTAAAATCTAATTTTATAATCAAAACATCACGTTAATACATATTTATATCACATCAAACAACTATTTAAATTTAAAATTGTACTGTTCATAATCAAAACCTCAGAAGTAAACACACTCATTGTTTTTAAGAAAAAGACAATAACATAATTAAATGATTGATTCATTTCAACATTGTTGAAAAATAAGTAACGACTTAACGTATAGTTAATTTGGTCTAATTAAATTAGTTAGACTTCACATCAAACAGCTTAGAGGATAATTCATTATTTAATCTTCATTTACTAATTAACACTTAAAAAATCAAGGTTTGCATTCAATCAACACCATATTTTATTAAAAAAAAATGATAGTTATATATATATTTTTTAAAAATATATATATTCTCTAAGCAACTATTTATATTAAATTAAATAGTTAAAAAATTTAGGAGTTTTAAAATTTTGAAATTTTAGAAATAATAAAGAAATTAGTAGGTATTTGATATGGTATGTGCGAGAAAAAAAATAAAAATTAATGGAGTATAATATTTTTTAGAAAAAAAGAATAATCCCAAAATTCCAAATATATTGTGTAAACAAAGCATTAATTTTTGGTGTTTGGCACTATTTTTTTTTTCTTTTTTTATTTATTTACAAACAACCACATCAAAAACTAATTTTTTTATTATTTTCGAAAAAAAATTAAATCTAAAAAAATATATAAATCTCGTCTTTAATTAGACAAAACATAAATAAACCTATCAAAACAAATGATTGTAATAAAATCATAAACAACATTTTTGTAGGCTTGTATTATATATATATATATATATAATGTTCCATTCAAAAGGTTAATTTTCAACGCTTAAGTTATATATATATTATATAAAATGCACTATTTATTCCATCATAAAGAAATATATATTTATACTCTTAGGTATATATTTTAATATGAATAAGTAATAATTATTACTTTTTATTTTTTTAATTATAAAAATACAAAATAACAAAAAATAGGTACAATTTTTTACTAATAAAAATAATACTCCCACGTACCATGTCACTTTCATCTTTTGAAAAATAATTATACACTTTAATCTCATTTTAAACTTTTTAATTTTATTTCTTTTAAAATTTTAATTAAACTAATTAGTTATCTTACATTTTTAATTATCTACTAATTACACAACTCCTAAAATACCGTGTCTACAGTGTAGCAGACACGGTATTTGGGACGAAGGGAGTAACACTTTTAGCAACCAAAAAAGGAAAAAAAAAAAAAAAATATATATATATATATTATATTATGGCAAACAGCGTATATCATACCACTCTATTTCAATCCAAACATTTGAATCTAAAACAATTTAAAATATCAAAAGCATCTGGAAATAAAGTAAAGGCTAAGATTACCTTACATGTGTATTTGAAAATATTGCACCACTTTTATTCAATGAATATGCTAAAGCGAATATTTGGCTACGGAATGGTCCGAAAAATGTGCAAGAATCACATGTGACTATTGCAATATTTTAGGGTAATAGTCAATAAATTGCATTGCACTACATGCAAACATTTATATGATAAGAATCTTCTAATATATATATATATATATATATGTCTGTAAACTATATGAAATAGGAGCAAAGAAAAAGCAAAGAAATATGTACTGGAGAGAACAAATAATCATATTATTGAATCCAAATCAATATATTTATGGGGAGAGGTTACTGTGTTGATTGGGGATGCCGACATTATAAATAGAAAATCAACAAATCAATCATATCCTGACAATTCTACTCACAAAATATGTTGTATAGACATTTTATATACTTAAATCAATGGTAGTTATATGTTGTGTGGACAAATGTCATCTATTACATTTGTATAATAATATGATGTACTTGTATGGTGTAATATTGCGTTGTTATATAACATGTTGTCAGCACTATGCTAAATTTTATTATGACTAATAAGCACCCTAACTATTCCCAACCTATAAACCTTCAAAAGTTCTTTCATATGGTTCAAACAAACTTATGATTCAACATATTAGCACCACAATTATTATGCAATTCAATACATCTTTAATTCTGAAATCCACTGAGTAATTAGAGAGAACAATTAGAAGGATGCAGAGTACACAAATAGGCTCTATAAAATGCTGTCTTTTCTAGATTATAGAAACGACAGAGCAGATACACATATATGATAATAAGCAGCAATAATAGTCCCCAGGATGGAAAATATTTTCTGAATTAATTAAACCTAGCTTAGCTTGTCATGTACTCCCTCCGTTTGCTTTTTACAGTGTGAAATATTAGTATTATATTGGAGTGTGGTATAAATAAAATAAAAAAAGACTAAAATAAGTAAGTATTGTGTGATATAAAGGTAATGATATTTGTTTAATATATTGTAAGTTGTAAAAATATTTTTAATGTTAAGTATAAAATACAGTCACTAAAAAAGAAATTGATACTTTTGTTATGAAACATAACAAAATAGAAAAATAAATAGATTGTTAAAGGAACGAAGGGAATATTCCTTAATAAGAGGGCACAAGTAGTAATTTTCTCTAAAACGATTATAAAGAAATAGTGCCTGAAATTTCACTCTTGACAGAGAACTATTTTACAGGCAGGACAAACTGATAACATGGCAGTTTGTACGGAATGCAATGCAGTGTGTTTTAAGCCAAAGCTATCTCCTAACATGCATGGTGATAACATATTAACATGTATGTGTGTGTGTGTGTGGAGGAGCTTTATATATAATGATGAAATGAAGACATAGAAACAAGAAAGAGAGAGAGAGAACTCACAATATACAAAGACGAAGAAGATGGGCTGTCTGAAACTACGCCGTCACGTCGTGATCAGCCTATTGTTGGCAATAGTCGTCGCTGCTGACTGTGCAACGGGGGGTGCCCTGACAATCTTCAATGTCCTGAGGTACGGAGCTGCTGGCAATGGAAGATCTGACGATTCACCGGTAAATTTACAGTCACTTTCCTGTTTTAGATAATAGCCTGGATTATATCTTTCAACGATCATAATGAAAGTTAGTTTTAATCGGGCGGGGTTTCAGGCATTCTTGAGAGCCTGGGAAGCAGCCTGTAAGGGCAACCCCACGAAGAATATACCTGTTGTGTATGTGCCCCCGAACAGGACTTTCTTACTCACCCCATTGGCCTTCCTCGGCCCTTGCAAGTCGCAGCGCATTTACGTGCTGGTGGGATTTCATCCATTCTCTGATCATATATGCATTTACGTAGATTGGATCAGAATTGTAATAGAATCAACTATTGCATGGATGCAGATGTCGGGGAAGCTTATTGCACCTGTGAAAAGAGAATGGAAGGGGAGTCCAGATGCCTGGATCCAATTTTTCGGCATCAATGGTTTGGTGATGAAGGGTAAGGGAGTGATCGACGGCCAGGGTTCCACCTGGTGGCCTGACAACACTTGTCGTAATGACCCTGACCCTGCCAAAGTATACACGCAAACGAACTTCCGTTAGATCACGACATAAATTGATTGCATTGAACTTGTGAATAACATGTGTGTGCTTTTTCTTTGTTGCAGGGTGTAGCATGTAAGGGACCATATGTAAGTTACTGGTTAGAAGTTAGAACTATATCTGTTAGTCGACATAACATGGCTGTTTTATAAAATCAGTGTGTGTGATTGCAGGGAATGATGTTCAGGAACTGTGACGGGTTGCGGCTGAAAGGATTTTCGAAGATAAATGGCCCCGGAAGCCATATCAAGATCACTAAGGCTAATAACACTGTTATATCTAACCTTTGGATAATTGCCCCAGGCGACAGCCCTAACACCGATGGAATTGACATCACCAGCTCCACCGATGTACAAATACGAAACTCTTTTATTGCTACTGGTAATACACAGATACATGAATACATGCACACACACATTTATATACATATATATGTGCTAATTGTATTTATTCATCTAAGTGATCACAAACAGGTGATGACTGCGTTGCTATTAACGCCGGAACATCGAACGTTTATGTCACCGGGATTACATGCGGACCAGGCCATGGCATCAGGTGATCTTTATTTCAAATCCAACACATTTCATTACAGTTCCTATAATTAACAGTGTTCTATGACAACAATTCAGCATTGGGTCCCTAGGACATGGTGGAGGGAATGATACAGTCGAAAATGTGCATGTTCGAAACTGCACATTGAAAGGAACCCTAACAGGAGTGAGGATCAAGACAGTGCAGGGTGGGAAAGGCTATGCAAGAAACATATCATTCAAAGGAATCAAATTTGAGGCAGTGGACAACCCCATTCAGATCGAGCAATTCTACTGCCCACTCAAAGTCAATTGTCGAAACTACGTAAGGATCACCTAATGACTCTTAAGACATTATATAATACACACATAAAAACGTATACAAGTATGTATATTCATAGCTTTTTAATGCAGACATCAGCAATCGCAGTAAGCGACGTATCGTTTGTTGGAATAAGTGGGACATCAGTGGCGCAGAACGTGATTAATTTGAACTGCAACCAGTTGTTTGGGTGCAAAAACATCAGGCTAGATAGGGTTTACATACAGCCCTCGATTGCGGGGAACAAGGTTTCGGCAACTTGTAATAATGCTCATGGAAAAGCTACTCACACTAGGCCTATGGTCAATTGCTTTCTGCCTTAGATCAATCGATTCATGTATTGTTATTTATCTACACATGCTGTCTAATTATTTCTTTTAACATGTAATTGGTTGATGGTTATTGAACATTTCTGTAATGATAATATGTGGATTCATGAGTAAAGTATATATACTCTTTGCCATTGTTTTATAACGATTTGTTGATGTTTATACTAAACGTGCTGCATGCCATAGTTTTGAATATCAGGCCCTAATATCAAACAGTACATATAATATATGTGAAATATAATACTAATAGAATTCATATCCAATTAGTGTTACAATTAGTTCTAACTCTATCTATTTGCTATTCTCATAAAAAGTATATTAGTAATTTATTTAAAATATTAATGTTAAATATTAGTGGAAAATAAGGCTAGTTATTCTCTTCACTACATCAAAACATTACATTCTACTATTCATTTAGATTTTTTGACTAGCTTATGAAAGTTAGTGGAGTTAATTTACTTGCAAGTAAAACAAGGAAAGAAAATTAACTGGCCAAATATCAATAAGATAGTTACAGTAAATAAAATTTTCCTCTAATAAACCAGAGAAAGCTCTAGCTAAGGATTTCAAACTATTTCACATGAAATAATATTCAACACGATATCAATCCCATTGGCACAAAATTCACTTCTGCATAAATTTTATTTTCCTCAAACTAACCAAAGCAGATTAGATAGGATCCTAAACACCTTTAAATTTTCGAAAGTTTCAATAATGCCTCATTATATTTAAGCTCTACATATCGGTTTTGAGACTTAACAACGTATCTATATTTGTTGAAAATGAATTAAAATTTTCTAATAATTATAATTGGGGGGCTCTTATTTCATGAGGTAGAAAAAGTATCTTATCAATACCTGATTATGAGAATTAATGCATATTTCCCAAACAACACATTCTAGCTCCTTAATATATCTATGTTGATTTTGGGTTGTTGTGTAAGAAAGTATTTCACGTACATGCATGGATACATACATACAAGCATATATATATGCACACAGTCATTTAGAGAATCTAATTAAAACGAAAACTATGGTATGAACTAAAATTCTAGCACTGCTTACGATTTGTAACATTGATTTTAAGTAGAAGTAATTTGAGAGAATTGAGATTAGCTTCTATAATTATGGAATGCAAAATAATCGTGATCTTATATATTTATATTGTGTGTAACTACAGTAGCCTCATTCGAATATTTGATCCATGCATATATACGATTTAAAAACAAGAAAGAAAGAAAAAAGGAAAGGAAAGTTCAGTTTAGTTTGTTATTTGATATATTTGTATATGTTAAATACATACACTCTCTAAACTTTAAGTAAAATAACTTCTGGCTCAAATTCGAAAACGTAGGAATACCTGGTGTATCTTCCAATCTTGTATTGGTCAATGTCTGAAATAACCATTGGAGATGGGAAGCCCGGCTTGTCATCAACAGCCACGCTGGAATCCACAATCACTGTCATGGATTATGGGGCCATAGGGGATGGAAAAACTGATGACTCAAAAGTAAGTAATTACACATGCCATAAATTAGATAAATCTGAATTATATTCTCCTTGCTGCATATACCAGATAAATCAAAACACACAACTAAAAATTGAATCAATTGTATTAATTCAGTACCTAAGAATTGATGGGTGGACTTCTGATTACCAAACAAAATACAGGCATTTTTATCGGCATGGGAAGCAGCTTGTAGTAACACGGGTACTCCTACAGTTGCAGTACCTAGTGGGAAGTCCTTTTTGATCTCTCAGGCTGAATTTCAAGGTCCCTGCCAGGCATCCAACATAACATTTCAGGTATTAGTTTAGCAACTTTATCAAACAAACAAAAAAAATAAATGTAAATGAAATCAAGACCTAAATTATCGATAGCAAACATAACATGTGCCGACAGATATTAGGAGCTATTATTGCACCGACAAAACAACAGTGGACAAGTAATTTTGAGGGTTGGATTAGATTCACTGGAGTGAATGGGCTTCACATTGCAGGAAATGGTCAGGGATCCTTTAATGGACAAGGGCAGTCATGGTGGAGTAACACTGTCAGTAATTTTTGGCACACTACATCTTGTTTCTTTAATTAATTTTTATTGCTCCATAAGCATTTTTCACTCTTCAATTACAGGGGGACAAACGACCATCTGTAAGTCCTAGCATCCAATGCACACCACTTACTATTTACAAGTTAAAGGGGGAATTTTCAATCTATATCTCATGAGTCCTTATTTTATGATCATTAATATGAAATGAGATCAATAACCTTCTCCAGGCAATCCGATTTTCAAAGTGTGACAACCTAAAAGTCACCGGATTGAAGCATGAAAACAGCCAAAAGAACCACCTCTCTGTAACAAATTGTAATCATGCTGAAATATCAGGACTAGAAATGACAGCCCCAGATTCAAGTCCTAACACTGATGGCATTGACATAAGTTCTTCAACTTATATAATTATCACAAACTGTACCTTTAAAACAGGTTCCTTAGCTATTTGGATATCCTTTTGTCCATCTTTTTAATGTCCTTAATATTTCTACAACCATCTTTCCAAGCAGACAAGACAATTTAGTACAGCATGTATTTTATATCTTGATTTTGACAGGGGATGACTGTATAGCAATCAATGGAGGTTGTTCAAATGTACATGTATCTGACGTAAACTGTGGTCCTGGACATGGCATAAGGTTTGTAATTAAATATTTCAACATCCATGCTCAAGTATATAACTAAAACATATTGGTAAAAAAACTGTCATCTTTCCAGCCAAGTCTTAACCCATTATTTTTGTCCTATTTTCTTTAAACAGTATTGGGAGTTTGGGGGAGAATGGAGAGCATGAAGAAGTAGAAACTATAAGTGTAGATAAGTGCAATTTCTATGGCACAACAAATGGAGCAAGGATCAAGACGTGGCAGGTAAAAATAATCATAACCAAATAAATTAAGGAGAAGAAAGATATGAAATCTCACAGTGTTGTCTCAATGTTGTCCTGTAGGGAGGCTCGGGTTTTGCTAGGAACATCAACTTTACCAACTTAAACTTCACAGAAACTGAAAATCCAGTAATCATTGATCAATTTTACTGCCCTGAGCACAATTGTCCCCCTAATGTAAGCAAAAACCATAAGCTGTGCAGTTAAGGTCGATCATTTCAGAGTCAAGAACTATATTATTTTATATATTACTTATACATATATATTGATTTTCAGAATCCTGCTGTGAAAATAAGTGATGTACAATTTAGAGGGCTATATGGAACGTCTAGCTGTAAGACTCCCACTATCAATATCAAGTGCAGCGAAAAGGAACCTTGCACCAACATCCAACTCGAAGATGTAAATATAAAATCAGCCGATCCAAAATGTTCAGCCACTGCAGAGTGCATCAACACCATTGGAACAATTGCCCATACATCAAGCCCGCTAGTCAATTGTTCGACTCCTTCTACATGGCAAAAGCCAACTACTTTTTAGTAATCAAAACTTGCGATGCAGAATGCTGGTTTGTGCTGATCATTTTTGTTATGAATAAAACTAAATATGTTGGCTTATGTAATAAAAACATAAATTACTGTCAGAAATAAATGACTCAAACTGCAACCTGCTTCGTGCGGCACTCTCTGTATATATATATATATATAATACGGGCATGAAAAGTGAATCACAGAACACATACACACATAAGCATGTCAATATTAGGCTTATTAGCAGTTGTTAAGTTGTCAACGGTTGAATGACTAAAAGTTGTTTCAAGAAAAGCAGATATCCATTTAATTATATCTTGCAACTAACAACAGTAACCAGTACTAACGAAATATTTCAAATATAATGCAGTTAACGTCATGTTTTGATCAACAAACTTCTGAATTCATCAATCTTTTTAATAAATACAACACTTTCCTCCTTACTTTTTGGTCCAAATTAAGAGATCAAGAAACTAATAAGTACTTGCAAAACAACAAAATTGTGGTAAACTGTTAATCTTTATTAATCATGTGTTTGAAGCAAAAAATGGATCAAGATAATTAGTTTAAATGGAGAAAAAAGAAGAGAGTAGAAAAAACAGAACAATGCAGAAAGGTTTTCAATTCAACACTTCACGTCATTGCATGAGTACAACTGATATTTATAGCTCTTAATACATATGTTACTGTACTTATTAGGCACACAACTCAACTAAATGGGTGTGTAACTAATGCATGTAGATTTCAATGTATGTGTAACCTTCAAGATACTTTACTAAATGCATGTTCAATTTCCAATATAATGCTGAAAATGGAGAAAGTACCCCAAGTTCCTAATCAAATAAATATCATCAATGTTAACACTTACCTTCATTGTCCTAAACACTAGCATTTCACTTATCATAATGTATATACTCAATGGCAAGATTTAGATTTTGACAAAAAATCAAGGGCTAGATTCAATAAATGGACAATGTAAACTATACTTCTAAAGAGTAAGTGTATTATCCACTAATCAAAAGAAATATCATGAATAGAAACACTATAAAGAGTTATTACCCAAGGAAAACAGGAATTAAGCATTCAAAGCTATCCAGGAATACCACATTTTGATAAAAAGAAATAATCATAGCAGCTAATAGAGCTGATATCTTCTCATATATCTATTCTTCATCCATCAGATATGTAATTATGTAATATTATTTTCAGATAAAAGTGCATTGTTCCTTTGCAGTGTAAAATAAATATAACAAGAATATCTCACACCCTATAGATCACAATAATCTGATCGGCCAAAAATGTTGTATCTGTTATCTGCAACATTCTCATACACAAAATTTCGGATGAATCTGCAAAAGAAATAGAAAGAACAAAAATAACCAAAGATGAATTTCTTTTTATACAGAACAATGAAAAGAAAAGTGGTCTTAACTCACAGTGGAATGAATTGCAGAAACAATGCCAGCTGAGGGAAGGGCAAATCTATGTATTCCATAATCTTTAGTACAGCTTCTGACTTTATATAAGACCTAAAATTAAATCCAAATCAATGTCTTAAGACTAGTGTTGGTTGTCTTCAAATAAAACCAACACAAGTGATATATAAGAATATGCAAACAAGATCCTCCTTCAAGCCAGGGTTTTGTGCTATGCAGTAAAAGTTTTGGGAAAACTCTTCTTACATCAATTCAATAGTTTCTTTGATATACTTGGCTATAGTCCCAACAAGCAAAAGTACAGTTTTTTATTTTTTTTTAATTTGCTTTCAACTTATAATTCCAACAAATCCGTAAAGCGGATACCACTATCTGGCTCACATAATTACAGGCGCAGCAGTTATTTTACCAATTGTATTTCAACAATTATACCTATCTTTTTCCACAAGAACTACGCTCGATATATCATCAGGCGCTCTTCCAGATCTCTGCAACAGTTTCTTGCCTGCTTCACTTTGTAGGGCTTCAAATCTAATATTCCTGAAAAAGAAAAAAGTTGAAATTGTGAATCGAAAGGGATATTAATTTAAGAAGAGAATAAAACAATGAGAAGGAATTGCAATCACACACAGTAAGTGGGTTAGCAAACACAAAGATAAAAATGACTGTTAAAGCTAAATAAAATCCAGAGGAATGTTAAAAAGTCAAGAAGATTTCCGTTAGCGCCCTCAACAGGGGTAGGTTATGCTTATGATCAAGATTGGCTTCTCTACATATTGAATTAAATTCATTGAAATACATTTTGACAAAGAAATCAGTAAAAGCTTGACAACAACATGTACAAGATTATATAAAAATAAATCCCATAAAGTTTATGCTATCTGCGAAATCAGAAACTGCATAGCAAGCCAGCCACAGAAAAACTGATATAGGGAAACTTATACTCAGAAATCCAAGCTGATTATCATAGAGGAAGTGTAATATGAAAGTCCAACCTTCGCTTATCGTGGTCACGGACAAACTTCACGCCTCCATTGCATAAATTGCATACACCTATCATGCGAAGTAAATAGCACACATCATATCCACATAGTTTCCAGCTCTCAATTTCACTACTACTGCTTTTCAATACAAACAGCATATAAATTGACATCAAAACCATATCAATCGGAAACTACTTCAACAACATCTCCAATACAAAATAACAATTAAATCGTCACTGGAAACTCATAATCAAACAAACAGATAGCAGAATCAATATGCTGCACTTTCTGGTAGTCAAGAACAGTAGAGGTACCGTCAAATAACATGATAGGGCGAGCATCCCGCTCGAAGAAGCTCGCAGTTTCCTTCACCCAGTCCACAGCCTCTGCATTTGTACGAGACACCGCAGTAGCGGAAACAGTCAGACGTCGGCCGAAAGTGCTAACGTGCGCCGGAAGCTGCGAATACGTGATCGGGAGGTTGAACGCCATTGATGAACTGAAACGTGAAAAGAAGCTGAAGACTGAACCAGTATAGTAAGGGGAAAAAAATTAATAAAAATTCATCGAACCAGGAAAAATATTGAAAAATATATATATTTTTTATAACTATCTGGCCTCAATAACCCACAGAATTACAAGAATGCCAAATGATCTGACGGTTCGGAGTGGTAATTTATAGGGGTAAAAAAGTATATTGATATTTCTGAGTTTTGAGCTCCATCTGTGGTGACGCGTGGAAATTCTCGCGACTCAAATATAAACGTGGCTAAAATAATCAATAAATATTAAAATAAATTATTTAAATAGGAATTGAGAGCTTTAGCTATCGAAAATAGAATTGATAAATATAAAATTAATATTTTGTATTGTAATCTTTAATTTTTTTTAATTAATAAACTAGAGAGCATATATTATATTAATATTAGTATACAATGTGTTTTTTACAATATTTATTAAAAGTAGTATTATGAAAAAAAAAATGTTGGGACGAACAAACTTAATATATACGGTAGAAGTTAGAATGTTAATTTGATCAAAATAGCAAGCTAATACTCCATCCCTCCATTTACAAGGGTTATATTTACTTTTGGCCCGAATAGTTAAAAGTGGTGTAATGATATTTTTGTCCTTACTTTTTTGTGTAAAAGTAACGATGTGATGTAAAGTAAGGGTATTTGTGGAAAAAAGTAGGGTATTTAATGAAATGTAAACTTTGTAATTGGACGTCCCAAAATAAAAATATGTAAACTTTGTAAGCGGACGAAGGGAGTATAATATAATTAGCAAATCATTACATATATATATATCATATTGTCAAATTAGCACATTAATTTTAAGTAATTAATAAATTTTCACAAGAAATATAGCATATATTGTGTTATTATTATATATATTATATTAATATATAACACATTAATATATGTTATATTGAATTACTATTGTGTCGAAATCACATTTTATGTTATATTGAATTACTATTGTGTCGAAATCACATTTTAGTTTGCTATGAAATCATAATTGCTATTTGTAATTACATGATGTTTTATTCAAAATACGTACTTATTATATATTATATCAATATTTATTATTTTCTTTACATATATTTGCTAATTGAATCCAATAAACACAAATATATATACTTCTTTTCTTATGTTGTTAATGAATATAACTATTATTATCAATCTAAATATGAAATATTTATATAGTAAACTTATATTTTGTTTATATTAATATCACTAATTTGTACTTATGATACTAATAATACGTTATTCTTTATATAAAACACATTTTATTATTATTTAAACATAATATTTCATTTGTCGTTTAAATATATACTTCATTCCTCCCATCACAATTGACACTATTTCAATTTTTGGCTGTCCCGTAACAATTAACACATTTTTATTTTTCGTAAAAATTATTAAATCAAAATATATTTAACAAATACTCCCTCCGTCCAAGCTAAAAGTATACAATTACTTTTGGCGCGGAGATTAAGAAATAATAGTATTTTAATTATAGTGAGTAGGTAAAAGTAGTAAAATGATATTTTTGCCCTTACTTTTCTGGGTATAAAAGTAATGATGTGATGTAAAGTAGGGGTATTTGTGGAAAAAATGGGGTATTTAATGAAATGGTTACTTTGTAATTGGACGTCCCAAAATAGAAATATGTATATTTTCTGACTGGACGGAGGGAGTATAAATCAACTTAATTAACTACATAACATACAACATCATAAATGATATAGAACCCACTTAAAACCCCTTTATTTTTACATCTCTCCTCATAAAAATAAATATGTCTATCTAGATTTAAAACTACACATCTTTTATAAAATTAATTTATGTTAATTATAAATAAACAAAAATATTTTTTTACTTAATTGTATTATAAAAAAATTTATTTTTTACCAAATGATATCCATATTGCATATATTTTTTAATTATTATATAATTTTTAAATATTTAAACATATATTTTAATCTTTTTAATCATATATATTAAATTTATTTTAAAACTATAAATATTAAAAAAAATAAATAAATAATAAATAAACGTATAGTTAAGTATTAAAAAAATAAAAAATAAATGTATAGTTAAGTAGCAGACATAAATATATAAAAACGAAAAACACGGTAGTGTACGGACAAATTAGCGAAATGCAAGAGACGAGAAAATAGACGATATGCCACGTAGGCATCATTGGACCAATCAGAAGGCGTCTATGGCGTCATCACACTTTCCACGGTAAAAACCGTTTCCCAAATCCACTTTTCACTTGCAGTCGTACTCGTCGTCTTCTTCTTCACCTTCGTTTCCCCTCACAAATTTCGACCTCCGGCGGAGCTTCTGCTGCACTCCAACATCTCAAAAACAGGCAGTTCGTCGAAAGCAAGGGGAAGACTCCTCCTCTACTGACCAGGTACCCATCAATGGGGTGGATTGGGGACACCGTCGATTCAATAAAGTCCATCAAAATACGCCAGAATCTGCATCAGGCAATCACACTTGGTTTGGATTTCTAACTACTCTGATTTCTCCGCTCTCCGAGTTTGAGTTTGTGCTGTTTATGTTTGTTAGGATGAGAGTGTTGTTTGTTGGAGAAATTAGGGCTTTGTTTATTTGATCGAGGATCGGATTGGATTTTTTATTTGATTAGGTTAGAGACGTTGCTCATTTTGTTCGACTTTGATGTTTTAGCTTGAGGTTCTTTGGAATTTGGATTGGAAACGATCATGCGATTCGTTGATTTTTGTGGATTGATTTGTTAGCAAAATATATGAATGCGTTTTTAGTCCGTTTTGGATTTGAATTTTTTGTCAATTGAAAGTAAACTTCATATTATAAATAGCAACTGTGTTCGATGCAAGTATTCTTTAGATATATGTTTAGAATAGTAGACGAAATAATATTTTTACAGTAAATTATATATGTATATATATATATAGTATGAAAATAAGGTCGACGACAGAAACATTGTATGTTACTGCTGTGGAGCCTTATTACAATGCCAATTCTTCGATGTATTTTGTAGACTATATATATATATATAATGAGGTTTGTGTTTATTCGAAGTTCTTTTTATCTACTTGATTGTGAATCCTAAGGTACCATTGCTGCATCTGCATTGATAATATGGAGGATGTATATTTTACAGACTATATATATGTATATATATACTGAGGTTCGTGTTTTAGTTTTCTTTTTGATATTCTGTTTGTCTATTTGATTGCGAATCCTCAAGGTACCATTGTTGCATCTGCACTGATAATATGGAAGGCGTTGATGTGCATAACCGGGACTGAGTCCCCTGTTGTTGTTGTTCTTTCCGGAAGCATGGAGCCTGGATTTGCTAGGGTAAAAAAGTCTGATTTTTACATCGTTTATGGGATTTTTTGCATTTGTTATAGACCCTTCAAAAGTGGTGAGATATGTTGCGATTTTATCTGCAGGGCGACATTCTGTTTTTGCATATGAGCAAAGATCCCATTAGGGCAGGCGAAATCGTTGTGTACAACATAGATGTAAGAGTATATTTATTTCCTATCGTCTCTCTTTTGACTTTATTGCTTGCTTCGATCGCCTCTTATCGCCTTCATTATGTATTTTCAGGGCCGTCAAATTCCTATTGTTCATCGTGTGATAAAGGTTAACTATAGTTAAACTTAAACTCCATTTTGAGCTTGGCCGGGTTTGTTCAAAACTCTTTTTTGTCTAAGACTCTATATCCTTACATTTCATCGCAGCTTCATGAAAGGCGCAATACTGGAGAAACCGAGATCCTCACAAAAGGTGCGCGGCTATCTTGCAAATGAGATGCATCATTTTGTAAATGTTTTTTTTTTTTTTTGCAGAACTTTTTTGTCTGAAACTGCAATGTCCTGCAGGTGACAATAACTATGATGACGATGTGTCACTGTATGCTCCCGGCCAAGACTGGCTACACCGGAAGCACATTATGGGACGAGCCGTCGGGTAAAGATTTATTTGTTTATGCTTTTTATTCGAAACTCGTCTAATTGAACGTAAGTTTTCAATATAATGTTTTAAATAGAAAATAAACATCGGGACCTAATATTGAATAGAAAATGGTTATGAAACGCAATACATTTTATTTGGAAATGGTTACAATGATGATTGAGACTCAACTCAGTAATTTTAGGTATTTTATAGTGAAATATAGAGAATACTAGTGGTGTGTTTGTTTGGGGGTTTGGATTTTGAATTGGGATTTGAATAGTTAAAATTTTGAATTTAAATAGTTGTATAATGTGATATAAATAGGTGTTGATGTGATGTTTTGAATGTAAAATTGATTTTTAGTATAATATAAAAAATGAAAAATAGGTGTTTGATTTGATGTTTTTGGGGGGAAAAAATGGGATGAATAGTAGAAATTAAATCCATTCCCCCAAACAGACACACCCTATTATAGTGAGTGATGCTTTGCATGTTTTTTATTCTTGTCGAATTTTATTATTACGTGTTTATATTTGTATAGTCTATATTATATTTTTTGAGAAATATTCTTGAAAAATCTTATGTAAGAATAAAATTCTAAATAAAAAACACTCAGTAGTTTGTAGTACATTGTTTGAATTAATACCACACGTGCTATATAAATTATTACAATGCAATGCACCTTATGTATAGAAATCAATCATGGTCGATATTATGTGGAAAATTGTCCGTCTCTTAGGTTTACATTTACTTTTTCCGTCATTGTACTTAACATTAAAAATATCGTATAATTTTTTGTACAAACATCATTATATTAATATTATAAAACACTAGTAGAAGTATTTTTGTCTTTTTTTTTTTTTTTTTTTAATTTATACTACATTTTGACAAAATAATTAATATTCAAAGTTCAAAGTATTTGTATTATACGAACTATTTTCATGTTAGTTAACTAGTTAGTTAAAAAATGGTTGCAGATTCTTGCCGTACGCTGGGTACTTCACCATTCTGATGAATGATTATCCACTGCTGAAGGTGTTTTTTTTTTTCTTCATTATGTTATGAGCTTAAATTTAAAAGAATGGATGTTGATTGTGAGATGGGGGTTTTGTTTTTGGTTGCAGTATGTTCTGATTGGTGGTTTGGGGTTGCTTGCCATGACTTCCAAAGATTAGCCTCACTCAAATTCATCAGGTATCATACATACATACACAAATACATTATACTCATTAACAAACTATTATTCATTTTTATTGATTTTGTAACAAAAACTTTTGGACTCAACTCAACTTGGCTGCCTATTACTACAATACAATGCTTTCTTGGTTCTTGGAATTAGTGTTGTTTTGTGAGGTGGGGGTTGGGGGGTGGTTTTGATTTTATTTTTTGTTTAAATAATATTTTATTATATGGTATTTTATGAGATGTGAAATAATATTTTATCGATTCTATATTAATTTTTTGCCACAAAAAATATGCATTTTTTGTTACAGCAAATAATTTTTAAGCACTTTTTAATTTATATTTTTCAATATTATCTTTATTTATAAATATATCACTACTGCTTACATTCTTAATTTGTCAAAGTGAACTTATTTTTGCTTAACTGCATTTGTTTTTATTACTGGAGTTTTTATTTTTATCTATTTTACATTCAAAATATATTAACAATATAAATTTATCATTTTATCTTATTGTACGAGGATTTTAGTTTTTAAAATTAAAAATAAATATATTAACTGGAGTATGTTTCAACTATTGATACTTTGTTTAAAGAAAAGGTATTAAAAAAAAAACTCATTGTCGTCAAAACTTACAAAAATATGCACGTAACACGTAAACACCAGCTTCATATTTTGTTGAATACTTCTCTTAGCCCACCTCGTTATTTCAATTAACGAGGCGGCGAGCTCAAACACTAAAAAGCCGAGACTTTTCAAGCAACTCCGCTATCTGATAAATTTTCTGATGATAAATGTTGAATGAAGAGTAAAAAAGCCCGTACAAAACCTCATAGCTTGAATTCACAGAAGCACTCCGGCAACGCCGATCCAAACCCCGTCGCAAACCGATCCCGGTGCGCCTTCCACAGCGCATCCATCAACGACTTCCTTGACAGCCCTTGCAGCGCCAGCACGGCAAAGTCCCTCCGGCTCAAGAACAGCGTTTGATGTGCGCCCCTCAGAGCCCGCATTGCCGCCACCATCTTATCCATGTTCCCGAAATACGTCGCCATGTAGGCGTCGCTGTGGACCGACACGTAGTAGTCCAGCGCAGCCTTGGTGTTGCCACGCATCGACGCGTAGTCGCTGCGCCGCATCAGGGCAGACATGGTGAAGACGCGGTGGTACACCGCCGTGAGGCCTCCGAGCTCCATCAGATCGTCGCCGGCCGCCAAATATATCGTCGTGTTTGTGGGTATCGACAGGGACTGAAGCACGAGCGCAGTTTCGTTCGGGGTGAGCGGGCACTTCCCGCGGCGTCGCCATGTACGGGCCTGCTCACCCATCCACGGTTTCCTGTCTCCTCTCGCCGCGTCTATCGCCCGAGCGGACGCGGGAGATAGTCCCAAGTATTGGCACTGGCTGTAGGCGACCATGTCGGGTTCGAATCTGAGGTGGAGTGAGAGGAAAGGTTTCGGTATAGCACGAAGCAGCTCGGAACCTTTCTTCTTGAGAGGTTCGGTTAAGCGCAGAGCCGTATAGCAAGCTTGGCAGAGTGCGGATTTCGCGTATTGCGGATACCTGCAATGATTTCAGAGATTTTAACTAAAACGATACGAGGTCGAAAGGGAAGAGAAATCAGAGCGTGGTTACCGATCCCTTCTTTGGCTCATTGCGGGAGCGATTGAGATGTATCGATGCAGCAGGAGCGACGGGAGCACGGATTCTATGTAATCGAATGAGCCTTTTCGCTTGCTACAATTAACTCTAAAAGGCTCTTTCGAAGAAAGCTCCAAAGGCAGCTCTTTCACGACGTGGATGAAGCTTTTCATTTGTTCGATGAAGTAATTGACGTCGAATATGTCGCCAAATCCACTGCGTAATCGAAAAGGATGATGGTTATACGACAATTAGAAGAACTCAAAACAAAACTATGCAATCATATTGTCGCTGTAAACTAATACAAAACTATGTCGTATAATGAGCAAAATTACTTATAATTCACCCGTAATTTGCACCATATTTCCTTGTGATTTAGAAATTACATCGTATTTTAAAAAATATTGCACATAATACTCTATAGATATTGCATTAGACTCTCTTCTGATCTCGAAAATATAAAGTAGTTTCATGTAATTTCTAAATTATAAAGAAGTAGAGTGCATACATTTCAAAGCACAGGTGAATTATAAACAATTTTACGATGAAATTCAGTTTCATGTCATGCGGACAAATTAACTTCACGCGACGACTGTATAACAGAAAAAGATCAAAAAACAAGACTTTGGCAAAGAAAAAGATTGTTGCGAGTCTTACTTCGATTCATTCCAATACGCGGCCACTTCGGATTTTGGTAACACAAGAGTAGCATTCAACAAGCGACCAATGCCGACACCATCACAGAACTGCAAGGATCTCGGTTGATGAAAAGGTTTTTTCTCCATAAATACCAAACACTAATGAAATCTTTTAAGTGATGAAAAATAGAACCCTTTAAAACACAAGATGAGTTAGGGACAGGACTCACATCCCTCCTCATCTGATTGAGCCCGCCATAACAATCGATTCGAAGATAGCCATTGCTCTTTTCTGGTAGAGCTGCAGCATTTCAACACAAAAAACCAAAGGAAACGTCTGCATTCGATGCCAATCAATGTCGACTTAGAAAAATTAAATACATAGCAAGACAACCATATCATAACAGTCATCAACTACACTTGCTTTCAACTCGATTATTGAACATAAAGCTATGGTTTGTTGTATTTTCGATCTTATTTTCGCCCCCATGGAATCTAAATTAGGTTAGTTTTTTCCACTAAAACAATTACATCCGTCTCTTATTTTTCACTTCAAACAAAATTCCGAAAACCAAACTAAGCCTATGTTAGTTATGGCTACATATTAAGAACAAACAATTGTAAGCTCAAACTGAAGACTAAAAACTCTAATTCACTTACATGATCGATTGCTTACCCTATCCATCATCGCGTCCAATTTCGTAAATGTTCAATGAATCAGAAGAAAAAAACTATGTTCCATAAGTGTAAATCTTACATTAAATCATAATTAACCAAATCTACACACTCTGAAAGTGTAAAAATCTTAATCGAAATCATAATTAACCATGTTACAAAATTTTGGTTGATGATAATTTTGGATAACAAACCAAATCAACAATGAACTTGAAAAATCACAGCATAAGAGCCATAAAATTAAATGCAGTAACCGCTAACCAGCAGGTCGGCCTTTCATCCACCAATCGCAAGGTCTCCATTCCACAATTCTCCGTACACTCCATATCTCCGCTCTCCCTGACCTGTTAATCAGTTTACACCGCCATTACAAAATACCACCGCCAAAATACACGAAAACCTAACGCCGCATCCACGAATCCGTACCTCCCCAAACTCACCTTCAAAAAAGATAAATAAAATCAAAAGTAACGTGACTTACAGTGAAGAACTGACCGACGCATCAGAAGATGGAAAAGAAGGCGAGAAGAAGAACAGCGCTAGAATTGCAGAGAGGCAAATCACCGCCGTAATCACCAGCGTTCTCCCCACCGTCGGAGCGATCATCGGAATTAACCGTCCGTCCGTTCGTACGTCTGCGTCGGTTTACGCTACATTGGTCTGTAAAATTAAACGTATAACCGTATTAAAGCCCAAAAGATCCAAACGGGGCCCAATCAAAATAAATTAGAATGTAGGCCCAATACAACGACGGGTCGGCTCATTTAAGAACTATTATTATTTGTAATTCATGAGGGTTTTTTTTCTTAAAAAAATTCATATTATTGCAAAAGTAGAATACAGGCTATGTTTACTACCCATTTTTTATTTATTTTTATTAAACTGAAATTTAATTTTACATTCAAAATATCATATTAATATATGTTTATATTAAATCAATCAATTATTTCAATTCAAAATTTTACTATTCAAATCAAAATTCAAAACCAAAGCTTCACCGGTAAACACAACCACACTAATCTTATAAAATTTTCTTGCTAAAAGTATGAGTTTGTTTCTTTGATCCAAACTCCTAATTTTTTACTATTGAGATTCTGCATTTCTCAAAAAAAATATATATTTTTATTATAAAATATCACATTAAATATTATTTAAGGTAAACTATTTTTTTAATTGTATCTGACCAATTTTATCATTTTAAGACTTTAAGTGGACTTTATCTGAAAATAGTCTCGTAAGTAAACTTTTTTCACTAAAATGTTCATCCGGTACCAGATTCACCATGTTGGTCAGCCGTTGTTGACGTGGTACTGACGCGACTAACATGTCATCTGCTCATCGTCACGTAGTTGCTACGTCGTCGGATGACCATTTAAGTAAAAAAATTTACTTACAAAACTATTTTCAAACAGAGTTCATATAAACGTCCTAAAAATGATAAAAAAATATCATATATTAAAAAAAATAGTTTACCAAAATATTTTGTAAAAAAAAAAAAAAAATCACGTATCGCTGACGTGACAATGACATGTTAGCCACATCAACGTCACATTAGCAACGGTGAGTCCTGCACCAAATGACTATTTTAGCGATAATTTTTAGTTACGAAATTATTTTGATACATAGTTCACTTTAAATTTTAAAATGATAAAGAAAATCATATTAGAAACTAAAAAAATAAATTTTCGTATGATTTGATATCAAACTCAAATCAACCTTTTTTTTTTTTCTAAACCAATAATTTATTTAATATAATCTGGAACGGAGAGTGTGTATTTATTTGTAAGCAATTATGATAGAGAGTGATTGTAAATTCTAAAACGACAAAAATTTGCTGTCCATTTTGGTCTTTGTAAGTAATTAATGATTGATGTCACAGACAGCAATTATCAAAATTGCATGCATGCATGTATTTGTCCAAATTACACATAATGAAATGAATGTTGGATAAATTTGTATTATTATTATTATTATTATTATTATTATTATTATGGCTCTAATATGTTTAATTTTAATTGTTTATTACATAATTTTTACTATTTTCTATAAAAATATATAAGGTGTATTTATTTTGTATTTCAAATTAAAATATTATTGTTCAGTCATATATATTTTATCTGACAAAATATCAAATAAAAATATTATTTAAATTTAAATTAATATTTCTCTTTTTTTTTTTATTTTGCAAAATACTCTATACCATAATTATTTATAATAAAAATATTAATACATAAAAACTAAAATAACGTTGAGTTATATGGTTAAAAGAGCATTAAAAGGAATATTTTTGTACTTTTACTTGAAATAATATACTACTTTCGTCCTACATTGGGTGTCTTCAGATACGAGAATTTAGAATTAAGTATAATTAATAGATAATTAAAAATATATTAGTGAAAATAATTAATCTATAATATAAATCATCATATATTAAGATTAAGATGACTAATTAGTTTAATTAAAATTTTAAAAATTAAAATTAAAAAATTAAAATGATATTAAGATGCTTAATTATTTTCCAAAAAAAAGAAAAATAATGAAACGAACAGATATGACAATATGGACATGGTAGGTGGGACGGAAGGAGTAATGTTTGTTGAGTTTTGTTGTTTTATAATTTTAAATCGAAATCAATGCTACAGTTTTTACCTAAAATACATTATTCTTTTATTATATTAAAATATTATTTAAATAAAATGTTTTATTTCAACTCAATTTTAATTAAATTCAAATTATGATAAAAATAAAAAATCCAAAAATAGAAAGTGCTTTTTTTAAGTTTGTAAAACCCTTTTGAGTGTAAAAGTAAACTCTAATTACAAAAAAAAATAAATAATTGATGTAACACCCCAACCACTTAATTTAAATTAATTGCTTTTATTACATGTTATTTGTCCATATATGGAATTTAATAAAAATTTGATGTTGATTGTTGCTTACTTTTATTATTTTAGCTACAAGAGCGAGCACAATTTGATTATTTGTAAATATAAATATATTTTATATTTGAATCAAATTGAACTAATAATCAAAATCGTAAATTGAATTTGAATTGAAATTGAAATTTTTTATTAATTTAAAATATTGCAATATTGGTAGATAATTTGAATAGAAACGAATTTAAAAACAATGCACTGCAAGATAACTAAAATTCTGATTACCTAAAAATATTTACAAATATTTTAAATCGAACCAAATATAATATAATCATATATTAATATAAAATACAAAACATAAATATATTTGATTCGGTTCAGTTAATAAAAATAAAATAAAATAAAATTGAAGTAAACAAATATCAAATATAATGCATTTATATTCGAACAAAATTTATTTGATTAACCGAAATTTTTGACTCAATTCGGTTCTACTAGACTGTTCATACTTTAATTCACTATTAATTTATATGTATTCAAAATATTATACTTTCTTCCCTCTATATAAAGTATTAATTTTTTTTATTTTTATTTGTTCCAAAATAAAATATTCATTTATATTTTATATATATTTTAATAATTATATTATATATCTAACATTAATTAATACGTCACATGACGTGACAAGTCAATTATACTATGCGAATTCATAACTTCACATTCATAATAAAAAAAATCAAAATTAATACGTTCCTAAATAATTTATCTATTTTTCAATTTTGGTTTGTCCTATAACAAAATATTCATTTTTTTTTTATAATAATTGTACTATCTACCTAACATTACAAATACTCTTCCAATTTACAATATATTACACAAATATCATTATATTATATCATACAATATTAATAGGGTTAATTTAGTCTTTTTACTTTTATTTCCATATTATCTCAGTATAATACTAATATTTCTAAAATTCCATGCAAAAACAAATGGATATATAAATACGGGATGAAGAGAGTATTATTTAATTTATACAGTTTTCAATAAAAAATTAAATTTTTATTATTTAAAAAATTTTCTACTGCCAAAACTAAAAAAATTTCAAAACTCCACGTAATAAGAGCCTCCAATTTTCAATTAAGATAAGGACGAAATCTCACTTAGCGTGTGATATTCTATTTTGGTGATTTGTTTAACATTTTATTTATTATTATTTTTTTGGTGTGTATTTTTATATAATTTTAAGTGAAAATAATAATTAAACGACTTATTTTGTGAAAAAATCAGTATCAATTCAACAATTAAAAAATACTAAAAATAATTATGGTATATAATATATTGAATAAAAATATATATATATTAAAATTAGTAAAGGTGTGTTATTTTGGACAAAAATATTCAAACATATTTTTTTTAAAAAATAAAAATTAATATAATGCATATTTCATTATTTTTATATTATCTACAAAATTTTTTATACGTCACATAAACATAGTCATATAAACATAGTTCTCTACCAACAAAAACATTAAGCAAACCCCCAACGCCTCAGGTCCACCTGCCACATATAGTTCACCTAGTGTGACTTTTCCGTCGGACCTAATTTGTAAGGTATTAGGTTCGGCCGAGGTTTACCCAATGCGCACTTTTGGATAGCGGTTGCGGTTCTCACACCATAAAAAAAAAAAAAAAAAAAAAAAAAAAAAAAAAACACCAAACAAAAAAAAACACGAGTTTGGATTTTGAGTTGGAATTTGAATAGTAAAAATTTTGAATTTGAATAGTTGTATGATGTGATATAAATAGGTGTTGATGTGATGTTTTGAATGTGAAATTGATTTTTAGTATAATATAAAAAATAAAAAATAGGTGTTTGATTTGATATTTTTTGAAATAAAAAATTTGATAAATAGTAAAATTTTTGCAAAATCTTACAAACGAAGACACCCCAAACAAACCCTAATTCTGATTTTAAAAAAGCCCTAATTATTTAGGAATACTATTGTTGGTGCTGTTTTTAAATCAAAAGCCCATTAGTTGACCATTGAGATAAGTTTATATAAATAATAATAATAATAATATAATAATAATAATAATAATAATAAAGGTCATCTTTTATGACTATATAATTAAAATAAATACTCTGTTCCAATACAATAATCTTAGTTTATCATTTTTGTCTATCTTAAAACAATAGTCTCATTTTCATAAATAATCATAATCACCATAAAACTATCCTACTTTTTCATTATTATTACACAATTGTCACTACTTTTTATATTAATATACTCACAAAGGTAAAAAAATCATTTATCCTTACTTTTTACCAACTACCAATATAATACTACATCCGTCCACCATCAATCTATCCATTTGCATTTGGCGTCATTGTTTTTAACATTAAAAATATCTTTATATTTGTATAATTTTTTGTACAAATGTCATTACATTAGTATTATATGACACCAATAGAAATATTTTTGTCACTTTTCCTTGATTTGTACTACATTTTGATATAATAATTAATATTCAAAGATTAACATGCAAAAAGTAAAAACGGATAGATTGGTGGTGAACGAAAGTAGTATCAATATTTCTTAAATCCCGTATCAAACACGATAAGACTATACTTTTAGTACACATAAAGTATCATTTTTGGATAGATATTGGTATAAGTTTATATAAATAAATAATAATATTGATAAAGGTCATATTTATTATATCCATTAAAATAAATGTCCATTTAATTATAATAATTCTTTAGA